GAAATCTGCATTGGGCAAATCCGTACATCTTCGTAAATAAAATGAGAGAACATAAATTCCCAACAATGAGATTTTTGGAGATTCCCACTAGAATATGATGCCTTTAACACCAAGAAACCTGTTCGACTAGATCTATGTACTTTTTGAAGACTTGCATGGCCAACTATCAATAGTCAAGAGGTAATATAGAGGTCCTTCAAAAAGCAGATCTCGCACAACTACCATTTTCAGATTTTTAAAACAAGTCTCATCTCTTAAAGGGTAAAATAGGATTTTAAAAATTTTAAATTAATTCACATGTGAGATTTCATTAATGGAGGGTATATTCATGTGAAGTGGTATAGTCATACAAGCTATATTTAAGCCTACTAGTAAGTGTGCACGTGCTATGCACGTGGTAATTCTAAATGATGATAATGGTAGCAATAATGTATCCAAATTTTTGTATAAATTTTATGTATTTTTATTTTTTGTTTTTTATTATTAATCGGATGTGGATTGAAAATTCAAATCTGATTACATAAACACTTCATCCAAATATGTGATAATTAGATCGGGTTGTGAATTTTCAAGTATCATTGATAGGTCTATTTGTTTGGCTAGATTCTTCTTTTTTATAATATTTAATCTTTTTGGTGTATCTTTTTTTCGTTCATTTATCAAAAAAAAATATAAGATTTAAATATTGGGAATTAAATAAGGTGAAAAGTAGTAGTTCAATTTACAATTTAAACCTCATAATTAAATAAGGACTAAATTCAAAAATGTAAGAAATCTTTTCTATAACTTTTTTGTATTTTTATTTGTAAAAATAATTCTAATATATCACACTTACTTTTTTATTTAATATGATAAATATATGACATTATACATGTGCCTAAATGCTTTTTTGAAAAATGTATGTATTTTTTATTTTTGTATTTTTATATTTTATTAACTTTTATTATTTATTTATGACATTAAAGGTTAACATGTTTGACCCAAAATTTGAACTATTGATCTTTGCCAAACAATAAAATAATTTCATTTTTTGTCAGTTCTAAATTATGTATTTCATTTTCATTACCAATAAAAATAATTCTTGTTTATTACACTTATTTTTTTTATTTGATTAATAAAAATATCATAAACATGTCTAATTTTTCTACATTTTTTGTAAGTTTCTATATTATTTCTATTTTAAAAATGTTATTACCTATGACTTCGTAGGTTGATCAATTTGATTCGGATGGTTGAATTGCTTAGCCACCACTTGGATTAAAAATGGTTTTATTTTTTAGTCAGTTTTAAAATATATAGATTTATATTGTTAAAAATATTGACATAGATCTATTTTAATAAGAGAAAATGAGAATTAATAATTTAAGTATAAGGCTTAATGAGAGGGGATTAAATTAGGTGGGAAGTAATAATTGAAGTTACATTTTCAACTGTACCCTTAGAAATGGACTAAATACACAATTATGGGTATTTTAGTAGTCATCAAAACTAACATTAAAACCGTAATAAAATAACTTTTATACCCTTTTCTCAAACAATGAAATAGAGGATAATTTTACTTCAAAAAAAGTTTGGCTGTATTCACACTTTTATATATAATATAGATATAGATTTTAAAACTTCATGATATGTCAAGTCAACTTCTAAAACTTCAAGTATAAGTCCTTTACCCTTCAGGCTACGTTCGTTTGAATGTAAATACCGGATTGGTGTTATATTACACTCTAGACCAGTATTAATTAATAAATAGGTACTGACTATGTACCAACATGACATGAACAGAACTGCAAGTGCCTTTAAAATTTGCATATGGCTATGTGCAAGATAAAAGAACTTTTAACCAGCTTGAGTGTAGCAGAGTGAGTTCCGCTTGAGTTTGAACCCGGCAACAAAAATGCATAGTAATTGGACCTAGCTGCTATTAGATCTAAGCTAATTACTGCTTGGTCGAGACCTTTGAGTTGAGATTTTCTGCTAATAAAATATGTTCCAACCCTCCACCAATTTCATTTAATATTGCACATATCACCATGAGATTGGGACCCACCATAAAGGTGAAATCGTCATGTATGAGATGTATGGTGTAAGATCATATTGGTAGAGGATTGAAACATGTGCTATTGGGAGGTGATTCGGACTGTGATCGGTCACCAATGTGCACGGTTTGGAGCAGCAAAGCAAAACCCGTAACTGATATAATTATAGTCCGGATCCGCTGACCACAAGATCCTACAGCCGTACATCAGAAACATCTCTTCTACTTGATGGATTGATGATATGCTTCATAGGGAGATGTTCACCATGTGTGGTGGCAGAAGACGTGGCCAGTGCTTTGTGGGCAGCATATCCCATTCATATAATTAAGGAATGCATATTAAAATTGTGAGACTGAATTTTCTGGTATCTCATTCATTGTTTTGGTCAAGCATAATTTGAACGAATGATTACAGAAAGGGTAAGCGACATAAACCTCTCTTGAGGTTTCTTGCAAATACTGAAACCTCCCCTTGAGGTTTAATAGGGTGATGTCATTAGACAAAGACCTCCCATCCCTTATCCCTTATTAATCCATCTAGGTCTGTTTAGCATCATATGTTGCTAAACTTTTTTAAAAACCCAATTTTGCTTCACTTGGAAAACAACCCCTAAATCTTGAAAATAAAGAATAGAGAAAATATACACTAGAAACCAGAAAAACCAAAGAAGAACAACCGCTGCTCTGAGTGATTAACAGCCACAGAGCGCTCCTCACAATGCCTCCTAGCTGCACATCGAGAATATATGTTTCCAATATATGGTGGGATAAGGCTGTGAGATCGGTTTGAGGTGCACTCTTTGAGGAGCAAAACCCGACGTCGCTTCTCTTGCTCCCTCATACCAGCAGAAGAAAGCAATCCAGAGAAAAGGAATGACATAGCAGTGATTTTTCCCATTATTAATCATGGTGGAGAACGGCAACTCTGTTGCTTCAAAATTCAAACAAACTAGGGGCCAATTTGGGAGAATGGCAAAGAAGCGCCCCTGAAAGGGACAACGATGATGCAAAAGTTTTTTCATCAACTGTACAGGTTTCTATGGGAGATTCATTTTTGTATAGAAGAACTAGAGCAATAGGGGCCAAAGGGACGGTGATGACTCCAAGGTTGGATGAAGAATTTCTTCAATCACAACCAAGGAATAAAGTTTCACTTCAAAACGAGATGCCCAAACCATATGGCATGGACAGTAGTAGTTCTTGCTATAACCAAGTCTTTCCTATCCTATCTAGATATGTTGTGGATCAAAGTCTCATGGCAATCCTATGGATGGAAACTCTAATGATATCTTCTTTTCAATCTTTGTAAGGTCCTAAAAATGAAAGATGGCTAAAGGCAGATGGAAATGGAACCATCAGTTAGTAACCCTCATGAGTTTTTTCTCCATCTTAAGTGATTGTTTTTTCTCAGAGGAGTCAACAACCAGTTCTGTTGGATTGTATTTTTGAAAAATTAGTAAAATTGGCTTTTTACAATTCCATTAGCCATAACTCTGACAGGGGGAGGTCTTTGTCCAATTGAAAAAGAAATGGGAGATAACAGTATTTATTAGAAACCTAAAGGGAGGTTTAAGTCTTTCACCCCCAAAAAAAAAGTAAATAAATAAAAATGATATCGATTGATAAGAATCCAGAACAAATAAAAGCTTGTTGTGGATACCAACAGAACAAAGTTGCAGCAAAACATGGGTGGGGAATCTACCATTCTCGATGGGACTCCACTCAGTTAGTTAACAAAAAATCGGTTTTTTTTAGTAGAGAGGAATACTGGACGACACAACACCAAGGGGTAGATCTCTCCCAGAATCACAAAAACATATGTAAAAGAATTGCCAATTCAACCTAGCATTACAATCTACCCGGGAAGCCCTGCCCAAGCTAGGGGCTATTTGTAACAGCTGCTGAAGTTGAGTATGTTACTATATCTTTGAATATTTTATTTTTTTAATTATTTGAACTACTAAAAGATAAAGCTACATGTCATTCAGTTAAGCAACTTCAGCTGTTATCAAACAGCCCCTAAGCTAATCAATCCAATGCTTCATTAGCTTCTATAGATATGAGAATACATCACATTTAGCAAACCTACTGCAGACTTGTGATGATGTTCAATCTCTTTCAAACTATTAATAACAAGTCTTGAGCCTCCTATGAACTACGATGATGTTCTTCTTAGCTATACTGAGATGCTAAAACATGGGCTTGGTGGGCAGCCCAAGCTTCAGCAACATTAATAAAGCAGAAGCCCAGTCTTCAAATTACAAAATCAGCATTTGACACAAGGTAGTTTCAGCTCGCCCTCATCTCTACCACAACATAAAGGGAGCCTGCATTTCTGCCGGACGGTTTAACATAGCCTTGTCCGTGAAGACAATCTAATCAAACTTTGCAAATTCATCTTCATCTATAATAGTTTCATTCAGCCCCTGGCTCTTTAAGGCAGGATCTATGTAGATTCAAAGGGGCAATATTCATAGTTAGAATCACATCCAGGTTTCCAAAAGCCTTTTTATTTTTTTTCTTTTTTTTTATGGATAAACAAGAGATGGCCTAAAGGGTGTTGACTGAAGTCTTTCCTCCTAAATCCCTGTATTTCATGTATCGATGGGTTAAAAAACTGATACAGACTGTAGGATACGCCCCCATAGCTGATAGGAACTAAGGCTGGGTTGAGATAAGCATAGCTTTGGGTCCCCCCGTCCACCTTGGCCTCTCCCCACTCCTAACATCTTCCAATTAGACAATCAATAACCCGAGTTGTGAGCAATGACAACATGGATTGTTTTGTTTTTGAAAACAAAAAAGAGTGAAAAACTGCCACATGTTGTCTAACACCCCCTTAATTTTCCTTGCAGAAGTAGAACTAGCCAACAAACCCTGTCCCTGTTATTTGTTCAAATAGCAGGTAAAAACTTTGAAAAGAACAGGAGAGAAGGAAGTGCCTAGTTTTCTATCAAGATGAAGATGCTGAAATTGGATCATATATTAATATTTTATTTTAATAAACGTCAAGTTTCTGCCTAATTTTTGTGTAGTGAAACTTCACAGCCATAATTACACATCAAAAGCGAAATTCTGATAACATGAATATGAATATTTTACAAAAGAGAAGCATGCAGCACTCTGGAGCGAAAAATTTTATCTACGAGTCCAACTGCCTAGACTCCAGAGTAGAAGGCAAATTCCTTCAATGCATAGCACGCTAACCACCAGCTCTCTCATTGATCAAGAAGGAATAGATGAAATAGATAGCACATTGCCTTGCCAGATTTGTAAATGTACCCAAATACATGGGTTTACCACTTGACGTCCAACGTCAAGGCCTCAGGAGGGACGAGAACGGATGGAAACATTGTGAAGGAAATATTGGACATTATGTTGCTCCATGAAGCAGAATCTACCCCAATGTAAGGTTTCACCTTTTCTACCATCAATGGCTTCAGCCTTTCTGCTTCCACTCTTGCCAATACTCGGAATTGAACACGTTCAACTGTCGGTTTTGTTCTCCATTCTGCCAACGTACGCCATAAAGTATCATTGACCCTAACATCTCTTTCCAGTTCCAACTGGAAACGGACTAGAGTTGATGCTGCAATTTTGGCTTTAACAAATCCCGACATACTACTCTTGAAGATCCTGTCACCTAGAAAGTTCCCCAAGAGATTTTCCAATAGAGCAACCCTCGAACTAAGGGACTCCATGGGAAAAGTTTGCTTCTTATGGAAATGTCTACTGTAACACTTTTCAGGCAACAATTCAATTGTATCCCGGGATGGGAATGTAGTTTCGATGTAGGCATTGGAGTTACGGGTTCTGTAAGCAACCATGGATGCAGAACCTGAAATGTGTATAGGAACTAAAGGCATGCAAAATGAGGGCCTGAAGGGCCAAAACTGGTTCCTATTATTAATCTCCATACTTCTATTGAATGATAAGCCTAAAAGAGATGCATGAAACAGAGAGATTTCTTGAGCTCTTTCTACTTCCACTGTAATGCCTTCACCAACAAGCAACCGTTTTAAACCAGTATGAGTGACATTCATCTGCATACCAAGTCAAACAGGGTCAAATTCTAGAGACTGAAAAAACATTGGCAATTACCAGAACAAATTAGATATAGGTTCTAAGTAGGATATATTTAAATAAACAGGACCTAAGAAACCAACCATATCATTTTAAAGTAAAGACACACATATAGCTTCAGTAACTAACAGTTGAAAGGAACTATAGCTTCAGTAACTGCACCATGCATCAAAAAGACTAAGAACAAAATAACTCATTCCAATATTTTACAGTTTAAACACCAAATCACAGGTTGTAACAGAAATCCCAGCAGCTCATGGTTTTGGACCAACATTTTAATGAGACAACTGTCAAGCCACTTTAAACCCAGAACCCTGGCTCTATCTTTTTTTTTCCCTGCTCAACTCTCTGGTCTGGTCCATGTTTTGAGCCATTAATCTATAGTAACATAATCATGGAGACAGGATTAGCCACATCCACAGTAAGTAATGAGTAGTGAGTAAAAAGCTTAATTACAAACCAAACATTCCTGATAAAGATAACCTTGGAACTTGGATTGAAGAAATAGGATAAATTCGTGCTGTACAAGGCACAAGAAAGGTGCAAGGACCAACTAATGACCAAGGAGTAAGGTGAGGCATGTGCCTTTTCAGAGGTGCAATTTAAAAAAAAAAATCAAAAAAAAAATAATACATAAAGAAACCTGAACTTCAAAAGAAATTAAATGTTTAAAAAGCCTAGGTTCAAAGTGCTTCTAGTGAAAATGTGGAAGTGAAAGCAAACATATACAGATCATATCAAAGTACTTCAGGCACTCAATAATTTAAGCATAGCATGTGAAACTTTCAATTTGTTAATTTATCTCCTAGTTGCTTTGCTTCAAGTGGATAATGTGAAGTTAAACATCATGCATTCTTGATCTTAGGAGATCAATGGCAGTGGAAATATCAGATATCCAAATATAGGAAACATGTTGGAAACATTGTACAGTCATCTTGTAAAATCATAAATATGGTGGAAACATTATGAAATGTGTAGAAATATACAATGATATTTTATGAAATGAAAAAAGAAACATAGATACACCCTTTTAGATTATTATATTGTTCTAGACCATCAAAAGGGCAAGAAGTTAAGGTTAATAAACAAAAGAAAAACTCTGAAGCTGTCCTCTAAACTTTAAGAGCTAAAACCACAATAGAGTAAGTTCAAGAAAAAATTAACTCACAAAAAGTGTAAATGATTCTAATAGATCAATAAAAGAATATATTTACACAAATAAAAGCTAAAATTTAACATCGTGTCCAAAAAGAACTACAAGCTGACTCAGAGTGAGCATCATGTCCATTAGGCAAGCAATATTACTACTACTCCACATATCTACAATATTGTTGCCAACTCAACATATTACAATATGATCTTGTGTACTCTACATAGTGTTGGTAGCTTTTACTGTGCAATAAGTCAACTCCAGTAATATTTTGTGTTGGTAACATGGAAATGGAAATATTACAAAATACATCAACATTTTAAACCATGCTCTGTAGAGGTCCCTTGAGGCGAGCCCAAACAAATCCATGAAAGGGTTTGGGGCAATGCCTCCAACTAACTTTTGGTCCATACATATAAAGAGGTTGGTTTTGTGATTTTAGTCAATGGTTCATTATATTTTAGGACTAGAAAACAAATATTAGTCATATTGTTATTGCTTCTTTAGTAGAAAATTTGATATTGAGGTCCTATTTGCAACAACTAAGACCTTGGGTATTTGAAACATCTTTTTTTTGTTTTAAAAGTCATTTAAAAGTTCACAGGCTGTTACTAAGGTGTGAAACATATAAGAATCTACAAAGAAATAACAAAAAAAGGCATATTTAATAAGGTGTCTGAGGTGCAAGAGAAACCAGGCATGTGCCTCTTGGAAAGGAGCTGAGCTTAGGTTCAGCCGTTCAGGTGAGGCATATGCCTTAAAATGCACCTTGCCTGTATGCCTAGGTAAGCCTATCAAAACACTGGTTGAGCTTTCTAATTTACAGCTACCAATAAGCCCTACCCTACAAGATTTAGATTATGTGTTTCTAACCACCATAACAACCCCCACCCTAGGAAAAAGGAAGAAAAAAGTAAAATATCCAATCTATTGTGACACCAGCCCCAACAAAAGAAACTAAAATCGCCTGGGCAAGTTAAATGGCAATACACCAATGACACAGCAAAAGTTGCCAAAAGATTAATATGTTTATTCTCTACAATCTATGGTAGTAACAATTTATAAGAAAAGGCATGCCCTTTCTATAATATTTTCTTTTCATTTGTTTTTTTTTTTTTTTTTGATAGATAATCAGAAATTTGTATTAATAAAAAGAGGAGGGCAAGAAAACCTCAATCATGTACAAAAAAGAAGTGTGTCTTTAACTATGCACAGATCATGTACAGAGAGAGCTCTTTCTATAATATTTTCTTTTCACTTTTCTAAGCCCATCATTTTTTCTCATCATTCTGCACAAGAACATAATCAATATGTGGTTATGTCATTTGGGCAGGTCAATTACTTCCAAGAGTTGAAACTTAGTGATAGTTTCTAAAATAAAGCTCCATCATCATTCACCATCCAATCCTTATTCCAACTATATGGGTTATGGGGTTGGCTACATGAATCCTTATTCTAACCATGTCCTTTTTGGTCTACCCCCCACCCTTTCTAGCCCCTTCAATTTACAACAAATTGCTTCTTCTTACAGGTCGTTCCACTTTGTTCAATGCCATATCCATTGTTAAACTATTGCTACTTAAATCATTTCTTATGGGTGCTATTGATGGTTTTAGTCTACTTTCTCTCATTTTATCACCTATTGGAACACAAATAGATTTCATGCACAATATGGACGAAATAGTAGGCCATCTCTTTCTACATTGTAATACAGTGGGGGAAAATGAAAGCATTCTTACATCTTTTTGGAGTTGACTGGTTATCCTAAAAGCGATCAAGTGTCTATGGCATTGCCAACTAGTCCATTCGCTTTTATGGAAAATCAGCACCTAGATATCTGTTGGTAACTTGAAGAAAGAGAAACAGATATTCCATGATGTAAACTGTACATTTAAAAGGAATTTTTATGGATATTTGTTCCTTTTGATAATAGATCTTCATCAGTATACAAATGTCAGCTTGGCATATAAACGGCATGATCTTCTGAACAGGTAGAGGTTGATAGATTGTAATGGTAAAATCTCAGACTAACAAGAATGAGATCCGCGACCCCAGATCGTTGGGACCAACATTGGCTAATGGCCTTTTTAGGTTAGCAGGTTGTATTGTAGGGGACTTATGTGAACCCCACCTGCGAATAATTGTTAAGACATCACCTAGACGAAAAGCCACCCTTTCTTATTGACAAGGTCAAGGTGCTTACGATCAATCACACTAACCATAGGGACTTTCATGTCCTTAAAAGGTCCATGGTGTTAAGGATATAATATATCCAACACCAGTATCATGCAACTAAACTTTGATAACAGTGATTATCACTTTCGGTTCTTTTAATGGACACCCTCACTAGAATAATATCGTCCCTTACAGGAAAAACTTAACTAATAAAAAGCAATAACTAATCAGAAATGCCCAAAGAATGGAACTTTGAATAAACAAGGCTCAACAATCATTATTCGGTAGAATGATCAGTAAATGTCTCCGCACAGAGTAAGTATATTAAAATACTTTTACTAGTTGGCATTCTAGACATGGAAAGCTTTCGCTGTTCCAAGACTCGTCTTTAGAATGATGTGACCAGATAAAAAGAACTGTAATCAAAATTAACAGTATTTTTCCACTTAAAAAGAAAATTTTATTTTCAGAAGAAAAGTCATTTCCATCTTAAGAAATCATTTAAGTAAAACATACCGGCAACGTTAGTGATAGATCATCATTTCTGCCGACCCGTAATTCGAACGGCCCTTCGAATTTGAATGTACTGAGCACAGTCTTCGAGCTAAATTCCTTAAGAAGGGATGCAAATTCACCCCGTTTCCCAATATTCGTCCACAAAGGCACCTCATCCAAAAATTTGAATACCAAGTCATTTTTCCCCATACGAAGCGCAATTTCGATCCTCTGGGACGTGCCAACTCTAGCATTTCTAACATCCAAATTAGAAACCCTAATTTCCTCCAAATTCCAACTTTGCTTCTCCGAGATCGTCTTCAGAACATCCTAATCCCAAACACAAAATCCACGAATCAGGAGAAAATCCGGTTAAAAGCAACGAATACCTAGGGTTTGTTTTCAAATAACTCAGCAAATTAGAGTTTCAAAGTTAAAATTTTCTTCCTGCACAACCAATAAATTTAGAAATAGAGAGAGAAGGCGACTTCTTTGGGCTTCCAAAGCTATGAAAGGAACCTAACTGTCGTACCTTCAAGAGATGAGAGGAGAGGGGAGAAGTCGCGTCGGTGTCCGAAGGAAGAAGCTTTGAAGCGTCTAATGCGACCGCAAGTGCTGCTAGGGCTTGATAAGATATCAGGAGGTGACAAATCGCGGAGCGAACTCTCATTCCGTCTCTTCTCGTCAACGAACGTCGACGACTTCTGCGTATCGGAGTCTGGAGGAATTGGGGCCATCGGTTAATGGCATAGTTCGTTATTATTAAAGGGATCTACAGAAAAAGATGTAGACCCTGTATCACATCCAGGGGATTTCATAATGGAAAAATGATATTCCAATCCAACGATAAAAAGTGTAGCGTTGCTGAGGAGTCTTGGTTTGGTTTATCCAATTAATAATTATCCCCAAATTCCCATATTAAAAAGTTTCTAATCAAACAGTAAATTAGGTTCGGGAAGAGTGCAAATATTTGTATTTGTACTATACTATTATCCTAACCGATTTAGGATTACAGACTGGTTTGATTTTGTATTCCAACCAATGTAACGAGCACAAATACTTCTTACCAAAAAAAAGGTACAAACACGGATTCAACGACTAAAATTCAACTTTTTTACATTAATCAATTACGAATGCAAAGTTTGTATCCAAAAAAGAAAAAAAAATCGATATAAACTTTGTATCAATTGTTAATATAAACATGTTGTGGAAGTTGTGATAGCTGTCTATTAATACACAAACATGTGTTTATCAAATACGTGCAAAACTGAATTAGAGTACATTTATGAATCAAACCGGCATTTGCACCGCAAACAAACCCAGCCTTACTAATTTTACATAGTCCAAAGCCTCCAGCCATCAGCTTAGCTAAACCCCTTCTGGTATCATGTTTTTGCTTAAATGCCTGCACCTGTTTTTTTTTTTTTTTTCTTTTTTTGAAGCTTCATGTACATGATACCTCAACATGTGGGTGTGGGGTAAAAGAGTAATTGTAATCAATAATTTTAACTTTGTATTTGATAGCACCTGAACCATTTTGGATTGATTAATACAAATTATATATGTGAATCAGCTCAACTAGAATGATTAATTCCATTACTTCTTTTACTTAAAATGCCAACTTAACATTTTTACAAACAACCTCCCATACATGCATTTTTAAGATACATCTATTTTAATTATAAACAGACACAAATAACAATTGCATGTTTAACTTGTATTGATCAATCCAAATTGTACAAAGCCCTAATAACAAGTGATATCAAATACAACCTTAAGAGGCATTCGTTTTTTGGATTTTGAGAGAGAGAAATCCATGTTTTTTTTTTTTAGATTTATGTGGGGACCATAAAAAGTTTATTTTCTTAGGTATCACTAACTCGGTAAAATTGATATTCATCTCCCAAAGTGGGTAAATAATTTTCCCATTTGGGGGAAAGTTGCTAATACTTGGATGGGACAAAAATGTACTTTTTAATAATGAATTTTTATGGTTAAAATAGTCATTGTCTTGCTTACTCGGATAAGGGCCTTTACCCAGGTAAATAACTTCCCAAAAACCGAACGAGACCTAAATGAAAAGTCAACCATGATACTAGGAAGACATAATGCTAGAAAAAACTTATAACCAAACAATTAGGTGGAGTAATGTACCATGCACATGTAGGGGTGTCAATGGACCGGTTTTGGATTGGATCCAATCAGATCCAAACCTTATCAAATCGGATTTGGACGGTCCATTATAATTATTGGGTTGGGCCGTTCCAAAAGAAATTGATCCATATTCTTATTGATCGGAATTGGACCTAAACCAAATTCCCAATAATCCAATCATGAGGCCAAACTCTTATCCAATTTGAAACCGACCAAAACTGAAGTCGGCATAAAAACACTTTTGTGAAAGTACTTTTATGAAAACACTTTTATAAAAGTAATTTTATGAAAAGTATTTTTATAAAAGTAATTTTATGAAAAGTACTTTTACAAAAGTAATTTTATGAAAAGTACAACCATGTTTGGATATACTTTTATAAAGTACTTTTATCTATACTACTTTAAAAAGTACAAATGGCTTCAAGAATATTTCTGGAATTTTCTAAGTACAAAATTTACCCCTCTATATTTAAAATGGAATGCCAATTTCAAAATCTACTTAGAAATGAAATGATGTCATAGTCAAATAATAAAATTTTTATTAATAGAAAATACAAAGAATCACAAAAATAAAAGAAAAAAAAAGATAGAGAAAATTTTGCACACATATCTAATATTATATATTTATAAAAAAAATAAAATATTGGGTACATCTATAATATTGTGCATTCATTATATTGAACAAAAATAAGTTTTATACATAACAAATTATTTTATCAATGATGGAAATGTTATACAAAATTTAATGTCAACCTAGAAATCAAACAATTTTTTTAGATGGTGATTTAGTGGTTTGAGTCAAATGATACCATAGACAAACAAAAATTAAGTGTGATAAGTAAAAAAATATTTTATATAATGTAAATAAAATATATAATTTAAAGAGAAAATTATAGTCAAAGTCAGTTGTACATTTCAAATAGGTTGCAGGTTGGTCCAGAAACCAACAAAAAAGTATACCGAAAATAGGTTTTCAGTCTCTCCCACCCCCTTTCTCTCAATCTCCCTCCCTTCTCTCTCACTCTCACAGTCATCTCTCGATCTCCTACTCCCTCAGTCTCTCCCACTCTCTCAACTTCGGTATGTAGCCAAATCAAAACCTCTATCTCTTCCTCCCTCCCTCTCTCTATTGTTCTCCCTCAATCTTTTTTTATTCTTCTCCCTCATTCTCCCTCTCAGTCAATATCTCATTCTCTCTCAATCTTTATCGTTCTCCAATTGGTGTAAATTTCATAACCAAGAGCTTTTTGTGAATTTTTATCAAATTGGTGTAATAATTTTTGAACCATACCAAGTTGGTCTCATGTTCTTTTACACGACCATATAAATGTGTAAGAAAATAAAAAAAAAATGAGAGAGGGAGAGGGATAGAAACTAAGGGAGAACGATAGAAATTAAGGGAGAATGAGAGATGGGAGAGATTGAGGGAGAACGATAGGTAGAGAGAGAAATAGAGAAATTGATATAGAAAACGTAAATACAAAAACCAAAAATCATTTTTATTTATTTTCAAATCACATAGTCGTTGAGCATATAAAGATGACTGTGAGTGAGAGAGTGTGAAGGAGATTGAGAGAGAGAGAGAGAGAGAGAGAGAGAGAGACTAAAAACCCCTTTTTTATTTTTCAATCACTCAACATTAAAGGGCAATTTCAATATAAGTTTTTTGTTATGTCCAACATGGATTAAGAGTCCCATGTTAGCAACAACCATATAACCCTCCAATGACATGGCGAGGGTTTTTATAATTTGAAATGTAGAGCCATTTGTCAGAGTTTTATTGTCTTATAGACCAACTTGTAGCCTAATTTTAAATGTACAGCCGGCTCCGACTATAATTTTCCCTAATTTAAAACTAATCCAAAAACAAAGCTATTTTCTTATCTAGATAATGGATCAGTAATCCAACTTTTCAAAGAAACCCATGATGTTATAATTGAATAATAAATATTTATGTTTATTTTTAATCATATCGTACTTTTGTTAATTTTCAATTTCTATTTTAACTATGATATATCTAAAATTCAAGTTAAAATTATGAGTGTTCATGAGTTAGTTTGGTTCGGTCATAGGCTATTTGGCCAACCAAATTGACTTGGTCGGGTTAGGGAGTTGGTCAGCTAAAGCCGACTAACCTTTTGTGAAAACCGACCCACTCAAGTTGTATCAGTTTGAGTCAATTTTTTTGTTTAGTCAGTTGGTTCAAAAGATTTAAACTTAAAAATTTAATTTAATTTTAAAAATTAAAATAAAAATATTAAAAATTATATTTATGATATAAAATATTTTAGACTATGAAATATGAGAAATTTCCTTTTCCATATTAAAAGTTATATTTAAAATATAAAATATTAATAGATACCCATGGTTAGGTCGTTTGATTTTGGTTGGTTTGCAACTGGCCAAAGTGAAATTGATCCAATTTGGTCGAATTGGGAAATTTTTGAACCAAAGTCAACCTAAAATACTAGAATGCCGACCAATTCATGTCGAGTTAATCAGGTTGGTCAGTTTCATCAGTTTGATGGATAAACCTAACTGAAATTAATTATTGTTATTTTTGTATTATAAAAGTTTCATTAAGAGCAGTATATAAAATATGAATGATTATTAACTATTTAAAAAGTTTAAAATATAAAACAATTGTATACTTTTGTGTGTTTCTATTAGGTAGGGCTGTTCATAAGAATGTCCAAACCGACCAACCCGGACCGACCCAACCCGAGTCGACCGGGTTTTCATCCGTACCGGTCGGTTTCGGGTTGGGCACATACATAAACCAAAATCTTGGGTCCGTTTCGGTTTTCTTGCGTGAAAACCGAAACCAACCCAACCCGAACCGAACTAGTATTCTACTAGTTTGGTAGTTCCTACTTCCTAGTTTGAGTAGTTTTCTAATTCCTAATAGTTTTCTACCTTTAGACTTCTACTAGAACTAGAACTCTAGAAGGCCCATTAGGCAATTACAATTAGAATTCAATTAGGTGTCCTTTTTTAGTTTTTTACCTAGATTAGAATTTAGAATCGCATTGTATACTTAGTACTTCTGCTTTCATACTTTTTAAAAGTACAAAAACCCCCCAAAAGCACAAAATCGGCTTTTTATACTTTGAGCTTTTGGAGAAATAGTACTTCCGTTTTCATGCGCAACTCCCGGCCCTACCTCTGCTCTCCATTACTAGAGTTAGACCACTGTCACCTGTCTCAACCACCAAACCATCGGAGACTATCACCGGAAGCATGAGCGAACATGCTTTTACCAAACAAGAAATGGTTCTTTTGTTTCGGAAAGCATACTTTAAAAATTTTTTTACCCAAACAATTTTCAAAGCAAAAATACCAAAGTAAAGGCATTTTATGTACTTTGTACTTTGGTACTATTAAAAGTACAAAAGCACTTTTATAAAAATACTTTTACAAAAGCACTTTTATTCATTCCGTTTGGCTTGGATTGGACCCAATCCGATCCATTTGCATTTTTATTGGACTGGATTGGATTACAGCAAGTGTTGTAATTTTTTTATATATTTTCTGGATTTCTCATGTTATTTTGATGTTTGATTCAATTTGCCATTTACATTTTATGTGACCGGGACTGAACGTGATTTGTATAGATTTGGATTAGATTTGATCCATTCCATTTGTAAATGGACCAATATTGAATTACACCGGATTGGACCAAATCCAGTCGAATTGACAGCCCTACGCACATGGGACGAGATTTGATCGGTCAAACTCTTCCTATATCATACCCTTCTAGCATTAGATTTACCCAAAGAATTAGGTGGAGTAACGTAGTACCACGCACATGAAACTTCAAAAACAACTAAAGCTGTTTGGACATAGATTTCAAGGCAGATTTGAACCCAATAGTTCGTCCATTTTACAGTTTGAACTTGGGTGCGACCATTGTCCAGTTTTTGCAGTTTAACAACTGGACCGGAAATTGATCCGGTCCTAACCAAGTGCTTCGACCTTTCAGGTGCCATTTTAAAACATAAAGGGAATATTTGGTTGGAGGAATTGATTTTATTCCGATATAAAAATGCCACATACTGTGAAAAATCACATTAAGCGAGACCACTCCCTCAAAGATCTGTAGAGAAATCAGTCGATCCTGATTTTTTGTGATTTGCCGTGATGCATGGAGCAGCTCCAACTCCAAGAGATGGTTTGGCTTCGCAAATGAGAGGGTTTGATTTTTGAATCGATTTGTAAAATGGCAGCGACATGTCTACGTCAATAAATGTTCAAAGTTCAAGCCATGTTCAAATCAATACATTTTCATGAAGATTTCTTCAAATCCCATAAAACCACTGATTTTCACGGGAAAAAAAAATGATAAATGGATTCCTCCAACCAAATGCCCACTAAACGTATATACCAGTTTAGTGGTATATACCAGTTTCATTCAAGAACCCCAGCTCAACGTATATACCAGTTTTAGTCCATGGACGAGGGCAAGAAGTAAAGGATTCCTTTTCCTGGTGGACCCAAGTAGCTTCACACCCATAATTTATTGCATTTTCCCGAAACCAACTCTTAATTCTCTATTTTCTTAAATTTGTGAATTTATTTTGTGCAAAGAACAAACCTGACCACTTCATTCCGGCTGTAGATCTTGACAGCAAGTGATGACAGAGATGCTAGCTATTATGTCCTCACCGCCATTCAGGTCGATTATATTTCTTTCCAATAGAAAGAATGACGACAATCCCGATAGAATGGATCCCTCCAAAGAGACCAAAAACACATCACGGGACCAAATAATGCTTATATGATAGAAAACATATCCACAATTAGAAAATATGCCACTTAAAGTAAACAAATTTTGAGATTTTCTTAGTTAACAGAATATTAGCCAATTACAGGTATAAGTTTTGTAAACCGCCAGGTATGATATGTACATATTAGACATCCATGCTAATGCCACCGTCACTACTTGCACAGGATAAAAACCCACCACCCTCCAGAAAAAGGATCGCTATACAGAAATTATATGAAACTTTTCTCCCTTGTACCCTATACATCACCAATCATTACCCTCTACTATGATCAGAGAAATCTTTTCAAATATTAAAAGAGAATAATGTATGGGAGTTGAAAGCCACTTTCAGCAAGAGAGCTCACCACCTCGGACAATCAGCTAAGCATGGTTGGATGCCCAGTTTGGAGCATCCTCTTAATCACATCCATGCCAAATGATGAATCTGATGAACTGTGTAAGGCAGTAATGTAAATGTCAGTGTCTGATCCAGAGATCAGATCAATTACGAAGTTTCAGTTATAATGACAAAGGAACAGGAAGGGGGAATATATTTAAGGAAACTAAGAGGAGGGAAATGAATTCTTTCGCCATAAAATAATTTTTCAGAGTTTTTGACTTCAAATATGCAAATTTGTATAGAATTACTCAATTCAGCCAAGTATTTCAGTCTCAAAATTGCTGAGTGATGCAGCAGCATGTTCCTGGTTAGATTAGTTTAAGCCTCTTCAGAAGGAAAAAAAAAAGGAGCTAAGAGATCTGAAAGAAAGAAAAGGTATAAAAAATTTCTAGGCCCATTCACATTTCACAAGAGAGGATCATAAGAGAAAAACTAGCAAAAACCAGAAGTGGGGCCCAGAGTCTCTAGTGAGGTAAACCATCTAAACTGCCCACCAGAGAATGCCAAAACATGTTAATTGGTGCAATCGGTCAATGAAAACTTTGACTCTCACAAGGAATATCTGAAAATCTCCTTTTTTGGGACTGAAGTGGCAGTTTCATAACGTCTGAAGTCCGATTGCTTTATTACTTTAATCAATTTATCTAGATCCAGATACTTGCTTATTTTTCTCTTTTCGTTTAATGGAGCGTCAATGAATTAGATGCTACCATATATCAGTTTTTAAAGTTCTCCTAGCATGTACGGCTTGCTTAAGATAAAGCTAGTTTGTTTAAGTTGTAGGTTTGTCACTTATCTTTCAGCCTATTTTTCAAGGACCAAAACTTATCCATTTTGCATGATTTTGGTGTTATTTTACTCTGACTTATAGGGTATCAATGACAAGAAATAAGCTTTTTTGTTTCTAGTGTGTAATAGAAGAAAGAGTCCCCAAAGGTTGACCAGCCTCCTCTTCTATAAGTGGCTATCCCCTTTTCAGTGTATTTGGTTATGCCTCTGATAGGCCCACTAATATCTCACATTTTGCTCTGGTTAATAAGTTTTTGAATAACCATTTATCACTTGTTAGATGTCAATATAAGTTTTTTCTTCACTTCTTGAACATTTTAGAACTTCATAATGATAAGAATGTCCTTCATACCCATGCAGCTATGCTCAGCAATATCCAACATGATGATCATACTTTAAAAGCAAACCATCCAAACATAAAAATAAACCCTCATCCCAACAAAAATTGAAATTTCAAATTCAAGAACTATTGTTCTTAAGAAGTTTTCTTTTCTTCCTCCTCTGTTCTTAAGTAAAGATCTAAACCTTCTTGCTTGTTTTTTTATTCAATTCTGATTTCTCTGCATTTTTTTCTTGAATACAGTGTTGCATGGACTTTTCACATGGATGAAGCATCCATGTCAAACATGCATCAGATTCCTATACTTAATGAATTCTTGAGGGACACTTCTATGTAACATTTTTCCTTGATTTTCTTGCTTATTTGGCATAAGTTAACAGCTAATGTACAGAACAAATGCTATTTTCCCCATAAAATGTCATTAAGAAACAAAGATAAACTTTTAAACCTTTTCCTATAGGTATAAAATCATCATGTCAGAATTGTCAAGGTGATGCCTAGGCACCTAGGTGATAATGCACTCATGGAGGATCACCTTGATTATTCGCCAGGATATTTTTTACATGGTGCTCTAGGATACTTTTATATTTTTTACTTTTTGAGATTCTAATAATAAAGTACAAATTATCAAACTAAATTATTCAGTTTTTAGGGTTCAATCAACACGTATACTGACTTAAACCCTTGAAGACTTCAAAACTTGAACTGATAAGCATAGAAGAACTCAAAATTTTATCCAATCAACATATTGATTAGTTTCATCATTTTTTCATAGAGGCTCAACTCCTCTAATTTTTGAAATTTCTTCATTCTTCCTATTTTCATAATATGTTGCTTTTCTATGTTTTAAATGAAGCTTGTAGATTTTTTATGAAGATTATAAACAATTAATAGTGAAAGATGGTGATTGCTTGCTAATGGAACCTAAGGAATTACCCTAGGATCCATGGTTTTTATTCAAAAAAAAATCACCTAGGTGACTAGGTGACAATTAATAGTGAAAGATGGGTTTTAGTCAAAAAAAAAAAATTCATCACCTAGCCCCACCTCGACACCTTGGAAACTATGCCTCTAGGGTCCACTGTCATACTCTGACAATCAAGAAATACAAAGATAGCTTAACATGTGGAGAAATAAGTTTGTATGGTCACAACACTTTCTTTTGATCCTCCAATAAAACACAACACACTATCAACCAATTGAAAAACCAAATCACCCAGTGAGTGCTTGCCTGGGTGATTTGGGGTGATTTGGTTTCAATGTTTTCACATGGTCACAACACTTACTTGCAATCCTTTAATAAAACACATCCATGCTATTAGTCAAACAAAAAAAAAAAAACAAATTATCCTGTGAATGCACCCTTCTGTTGCTACCCCAAATGACAGAGTCAGTAACAACCTGCTAACATATGAAAAAATAGAGATTATCTCTAGGATCTACTCAAGGTTCAAAGTATCGACACGTATCGGCCGATACCATATCGTTCCGGGACCCCTCCGATACGCCCCTATAGTGGGTGTATCGGGGTCTGACCGGTTCAGGGGGTGGAGGAGACCTAAACCGGCCCCCCTGAACCAATTTCGAAAAAATAAAAAATAAAAAAGTAAAAAAAAGGGTATTGATTCACCCGATGCGCCCCTACCGGCATATCGAGCGTATCAATATTTTGAAACTTGGGTCTACTATCGTACTATAACAATCTAGAAAAATTGGGGAAGCCTAACATGTTGAACGATGAGTTAACACAACCATCTCAACATACACATTTCTACCCATTTCTGCCATCTCAACATACGCATTTCTGCCGCACCCATTTTTGGACATCTTGTTTCTTGACTGCCCAAAACTCTACTTGATACAACATAACTGACCTTACAATTGTTTTATAGAATTTTTCTTTTAATCTAAGTGGTATTTGCCTATCATGTAAGACTCTAGATGTACCCCCTCCATTTTGCCCATCTTGCTCTAATTCTATAGGCAACATCCTCCTCAATCTCCCCCTTGTCATGAATTTTGAACCAAGGTACAAAAAAGGCCACATTGAGTTATCTTTGATTCTCTTCATCTCCCAATTCCAAACATACCCTGATTTGCGCACCTATCTATACTATAGATAAAAATGTGGATGCAGAGCGAAAGTCTTTTTGACTAAAATTACCCTCTATTTCTTTGTTTGAGAAAGGGTATAAAAGTCATTTTATTACAGCTTTAATGCAAGCTTTAATGGCTACTAAAATGCTCATATTTGTGTATTTAGTCCATCTCTAATTGTAAGGGTTGAAAATGTAATTTTAATTATTACTTTCCACCTCATTTAATCCCCTCTCATTAAGTCTTATACTTAAGGTATTAACTCCCATTTTCTCTTGTTAAATCCTATATTTAAGTTATTTTTTACTAACAAATGTTGCTAATTAGATCTATGCCAATATTTTTAACAATATAAACCCATATATATTAAAACTGACTCAAAAACAAAACCATTCTTTATCCAAGTGATGGCTAAGCAATTTAACCATCAGAATAAAATCGATCTAACTATGAAGTTATAGTTAGGTAATAAATTTTTTTAATAAAAATAAATTAAAAAAATTAAAAAAAAAAAAGAAAAGTTAGACACATTTATGATATTTTTATTAATCAATTTTAAAAATAAGTTTAATAAACAAGAATTATTTTTGTTGATAATGAAAATGGAATACATAATTTGGAACTGAATTATTTTACTATTTGGCAAAAACCAATAGTTCTACTTTTGGGTCAAATGTGTTAACATTTAATGTTATAAATAATTAATAAAATATAAAATACAAAAATGAAAAAAAAACATAAATTTTGCAAGAAAAACATCCAAGGACATGTATAATATCATATAATTATCATATTAAACAAAAAGTAAAGAGTGACATATCAAAATTGTTTTCATACAGAAATACAAAAAAATTATAGAAAAAGTTGAACACGTCTATAATTTTATATTTACACTACTATTAAAAATATGAATAAGATTGTGGAACTTTCTTTTGACTAAAATACTCATTTTTTTAATTTAGTCCCTATTTAACTGAGGATTAAATTGTAAATTAAACTACTACTTTTCACCTCATTCAATTCCCACTATTTAAATCTTAAATTTTTTTTAAATGAACAAAAAAAAGATACACCAAAAAAGATAAAACATCACAAAAAGAAGAGTCTAGCCAAGTAGGTAGGCTTGTCAATGATACTTGAAACTTCACAACTCGATCCAATTATCACATATTTGGATGAGGTGATTATGTATCAGATTTGGGTTTTGCAATCTGCATCTGATTAATAATAAAAAATATATAAAAACAAAAAATAAAAAATAAAAAATACATAAAGTTTTTCAAGAAATGTGGATACATTATTACTATAATTATCATCATGTAGAATTGCCACGTGCAAAGCACATGCACCATTACTAGTTATTATTAAATTTACATAGCATATATTCTTTTTTAGTCCTGCATATTTTAAAACCTCTTGCTTAAGTTATTTCTAAGGTATTTGTCCATAAATTTAATTTTGCACTTACTCCTCCATTAGGTTGATCAATTAAAATGGAGTAAGTGCAAGTGCCTGAAGCTGCAGAGCCAACTTTTTTGTCGCATCCCCCAAAGCAAAACTTTTTGAAGATAAATGTGGATGGCAGTTTTTTGCGCGAAGGGAAGGCAGGTTTTGGTGTGGCAGCTAGAAATCATTTGGGTCTTTTGGAAGCCATCTCTTTTGGCCAGTCAGGTGCAACCTCTCCCCTCCGGGCAGAAGCATTCACCTGCCTTCAAGGAGTAAAGCTAGGGAAATTTGTTAACAAGGGTCCTTTTGTGATAGAAAGTGATAGCAAATCCCTGGTGCAGGCGCTGATCTCAAAGAAGCCAAATGATGTCCCTAAATCTTTCTTTTTTTGTAAAGATATTCTAGAAGAATGTAAAGACTCGGACTGCTCTTTTTCTTATGCTAGGCGGGAGACCAATTTGCTAGACCACAACCTTGCAAAAAAGGGGCTGTCAGATTTCGGTTTTTATACAGATGCAATACCCTTGTGGCTAGCAAAATGAATGACCCCTCCGCCCTCTCTGTAATTATCTTTCTTTTTGAGTAATATAATCCTATTTTTCTACCAAAAAAAATTAAAATGATTTCATCAACAAACCAGAAGCACTATGGGACCTCCTGAACAGGTGTATTCAATTCATTGATAAGTGCAAACAAATAAGGGCTAAAAGCACCATGGTGAAAACCCCTCAAAACAGTAAAATCTGACGTCTCTCCCACAAGCGTTCTAACATTGGTTGTTGCACCCTTATACATGTTTTTTTTATAATTGAAAGAGAAATTTATTAAGAAAATATGAGAACTATTACAAGCATCCCACTAAGAGGCACAAGGTGCAACCTCCCTTAAAAATGTGAAAGCCACATGGCACTATAGATAAAGATTACAAGGTAGCCCAGTACAAATATTCCCTCATAACCCCTTGTTTAGCAAGATAATTTGCCATAGCATTAGCAGACAGGTATAAAATATAAGAACCCAAAAAAATATGGGTTATTTTAATAGTTTATACATTTTTACAGACAGGTATATGAGTACTAATTTTTCTTCTTGTCGAATCAAACTCCTAGATGTGTTAAATTCTGATTCCCATGTTTGTGTCCATGCAACACTGCTCAAATCTTGAAATGTTCTTGGTCGTTCTTCATTATTTTTTTTATTCTTTTCTCATTCCTTAAATTCTTGCCAAGTTTCTTGCAATATCTTTTAATCTCCTTGAATCTTTATCAATTTTTTGAAAATTCTTGTAAGAAAATTATTCTTTCTTGAAACTCTTGCTTACTAAAACCTGTTTTGCTACCTTGTCCATTGATTCTTACTTCCCTTTGACTCTCAAGATTGGTCTTAAATGAAAAAAGAGAGATTCCCTATCCCTATGATAAATCACTCTACCCTATAGGCCTAAATACACAGAATGCATCTAACAACCCAAAATAGTTGTTTCTCCCAATTTAGGACCATTGCCACAACCCTAAACAATGCTACTTTATCTCTAAGATTGATGCTGAAATTCTGTACTAATTAGGGTTGATTACATAAGCCCCAAATCATCTTCAAGGATAATTGACCTACCTTAGGAACACCCCCAGGCCTTTTTCCAAATCCCAAACTTATGCTTTAGAATTCCACATCTCGCCCTTGCACAATTACTAAGCTGTTGTCCCCATACAAAGGCAACATCAAGAAGGTTTTTGGGTCAACATGTGTGGCTCTAGTATCAAGAAGCAAAGATTGAATGCTATAAATATAGCAAACATCTGCCTAACCAAAATTCGGCACCAAGGAATAATTTTGTAAATGACATGTCTAGAGATAGCAACACCATAATAGTCATATCCCAACTATATGAGCTAAGATATATAAAAGATATATCCATACATAATTCACAGAATTTAATCAAATTGCAAATGAAACTAATATTATTCTTAAGTAATGCCATCCCTATAGTTGAGAGGACAATAAATTAGAACTTTTAAGTTATTCATTTCCATCAGATAATTCTTGAAGGAGATATATACTAAACTAAGTTGTAGATGTTTCCAGACATAAGCGACAGACTCTAATCAAGGATAAGTTATTTCTGCCACAAAATACAAAAAGATGTAAATAAAGAATATAAGGGCACCGAAGTGCACAGACAGGGAAAATTTAAGTAATTAATGATCACAATTTCCACTTAAAATAGAAACCTACAAACAACCAAAGAGAACCAAAACTCTAATTAAGATGAAGTTTTGGAGGAATCAAGAAGATATCAACCTTGGAATTGTGATTTCATAGGGAAATGAGACACCCTCAACATTTGGAACAGGAGGGATATGATCTCTTTTCTCATTTACGAATTTTATGATTTGAAATAGAACTTCACGAAGAGCTGCCTCCAGGGCTGCCCGCCGAACACTTCTCTCCACAAGGGCACACTCTGATGAATCAAAAGCATAATCCCATTATGAACTACATCGCAAAAAAATTTACATTGGTTGTTGGTGGGTGTTTAAGAATGGAAGTTATACCTCCAGGATCTACAACCACTTTGGAATGGTGAGACTTGGCAAAATGTGCTTTTGGTTGTTGTGCAACATTCAAATTGATATACCATTGTTCCCAATATAGGCGTTCTGTTTTGTTTGAGAACCAAGTTGCCTGTTTGTTTTTCACCTCGTAGAAAGACAAACATATCTGCATCATGACTTCTAGTTAAGCTAAGAAAAACGTGAAGATTAATTTCATCTCATTTTACAGTATATGATAAGAAACACCTTACTACATGAAACGCCAATATCACATTGAGAAAAGAAAAAAGCAATGCAAGGTGTTGATTGAACTACAAGCAACTGTAAAATCCCTACTCGAAGCAACAGAGACATAATTGAGTTAAGTCGAGACTTTGTTGAGTTCAGTTGTGCACCCAACCACCACCAAAACTAGTAGTAAATACAGTTGCATCTGCATTTGGAATTAACTCATCTCTCCAAGTCACAAAATTATTATTGGTGGGTAGATCTGTTACTGGTTAAAATCTGCCATCAATCATGAAGTGGATTTTTGCTCATCAAATTAAAAATTTGAATTAAGTTAGCCTAGTTTAACCAGAAACTAGGTTGTTTTGGTTCCTTCCTCTTTGTCAAAACAAACAATAAAGACATCCTAGACTAACCAAAACCCAAATAATGAATCCTTTTCTTCTGAATTTCCCTTCTCATTTTCTTTGTATTTATTTCCCTTGGGTCCTTCAAGGGTAGTTGGATTATTTAAAAGCAAGGGTAAATATTTTCTATATGGTTATTGATATATAATAATAATAATGATAAAATGGCAATAATAACAGCAGTAACTACTTGTGTCAAAACTTGTAGAATCTTAAAGATTTGCACATAGACTCCACAAGAAACGCTAACTGAAAGGCAATCAATATGTAACCTGACTTTTCTTGTTTGGGTGCTTCTCTACCCAACCAATGAACTGGTCAATCTTCTCCTCTATTTTCTTTTCAAGTTCAGCGTCCCCACATTGCACCTATGTAAAAAGAAGGATAAATTAAGGAACTGTTATATGCAGCTTGAGTGCAAGGAATATTACTAATACCATGAAATCTTAGATAATATATGGCATCACAAGTAGAACTGCTGTATGTAAATTATTACTCATGGTATTGAAGCATAGTCCACCTACATTTCCTTGTTCTGGACAAAATAATTAAAAAACATTGCAGGGCATGCAACATTTAGTTCATGATTTTGGCTGATAAAATTTAGAAAATAGAGAAAATAAAAGAAAAGTAAAAAAACTCTGTGCCAAGTGCAACTGTTATAAAAGGATAACTTGTCCGCCAAGCCTGGGCTTAGAATCTAGGCTTGATTACTTACCATGACTAAAGTAGACCAAGTCTGACTAAATGGATTTTAGGACCTTGGTTTCCTAAGTGTAACATGGATTCAACTTTCAGGTCTTAATAAAAATATTTTTATAGGAAAATAAACCAAAAGGAAAATGATTTGCATTCTCTAGGTTGAATTGGGCCATTAATGAGTTTAAAGCCCAAGCTAAATTCGTTGCCTGACTCAAGCTCCATCTATATATCCCCATGTGGTTTCCCAAGTACAACATGGATTCAACTTTTTAAGTCTTACTAAAAAATATTTTTTTGGATAAAGAAATCAAAAGATTTTGATTTACATTATCTAATTATAGGTTGAGTTGCGCTCTGAATAAGTTTAAAGCCGAAGCTGAAGTTGTTGCCACTCAAACCCCAAAGGGGCTGCACCTGGCCCAGGCCAGGCTGTTTACACCCATGGATCATTTCAATCCTCGAACCAAAGATGAGTACCACCGAACCTGGAGGGTTCTGTGGGTGGGGGAAACACATTAAAGCAACCACCACATGAAGAACTCAAGTTTTAAATCAGACCATTGGAGTGCTAATGAACAATACCATGAGTTCCATTGAAAACATGAGCTATTTTTTACCTAGAGATAGTATCCCTTTTTTTGATAGATAACAATGCTATGAAGAGAAAATGCAAATTGTGGTGATACTATGAATATAGATTCATGCAGGATAAAAAACAATATGGAATTAAAGATTCATGGAACAGCTGTTTAAACAAACAGTGCAATTTACAAAGAGATGATGTTGTGGAGAATGGTTAACAATTTTTCGCTATATACTGTTGTTGGCTAATACATTTTTTTTCTGTTTTCTTTTCTTTCCAATTTCATATGAGCTACAGCATACAAGCAGTACAGAAACTAAAGTACTAAACATCAACATATCATATCCTAAAAAGTTGGAATAGCTTCCAAACTTGGCATAATAAGAATCATTGTAAGAATTTGACATAACCACTTACATATGTGATTTCAAACAGTTCTGAGTCAATGTCTTTGGGTCGTACAAGACCTAAAGCCCTATGGAACACAATGGTGTGTAGAATACCTGCATCCAGTTTGACACCGATTGGCAGTTGAGGAAGAAATAATTAATATTACAACAAGTACGGAAGGAATGCAAAGTTGATGAAAAAAGCTTAAAAAGAACAAAAACAAAAGAATTTATATTTTATGAGACAGGTCATAGTATCAAGGAAGACCTGACCAATAAATTCAACTAAAAGAATCATGAAGTAAATAATACAAGAGTCTCAATCACACTCCAAAGAGGTGAAGTAAATAATACAAGAGTCTCAATCACACTCCAAAGAGGTGAAGTTAAACCCCAGGTGTCTAGACTGATGTTAGGAAAGTTGTATATGTAGGATAAAAAAGGAGTACAAATGATTAAAAAACCATGTACAACCACACGATGAAAACCATGAAGCCAACAACCAAGTACCATTGCATCCATCTTTTTTATCATTTATCATTGCATCCTTTCATTCATAATAAACCCATCCTTATGTTTGAGGAAACCAAGGTGGGATTTGTTTAGCATAAGCAATTCCAGACCTAAATTAAAGTTCTTAGTATAAGACAACCCTGTCTCTTCTTTTCTCTTCCTTAATTCTCCTGGACTTCTGAAGAACCCTTACCACGAGATTGGAAATTCATTTCAACCAATAGAACTACAAATTCTTGTCGCAGGTTTTAGCATGTATAAAATTTACGGCAGAAGTGCACAAAGTAAGAAACAAATGTACTGAAGCATGCATCCATTGCTTAACAAGAACAGCAAAAGGACACAAACAGCCCCATAATACATTAACCACATATTCATTAATTCATTCGTCAAACTCGACCTAATTCTGCACAGAATCAGAAGCAATAAGGCATCTTACATCGCAGTACTTCCCGTATCTCAAAGTGCTCCACTTCCTGCAGTCACGTAATGTTGTAATCAGCCAAAAGCTTCATCAATCACTTGAAATTTAGCAATCTGGAGCTCATACCAAAAAGAACGATGGGGAAGGAAAGAAAATAATTTTTCATTGCCAATATAACACATGTAATTGAAGTGAAACTACTAAAATTCAGAGCCTCACCAGCTCTTTAAGTTGGCAAACCTCGCAGTTCATGATATCGTGCACTAAATAAACCCGCAAAATCAGGTCACACTGAATAAATAACCTAAAAGAGGAGGCAGAAGTTGACAAACAAAGGAAAGCCTATATCAAGAAACCCTAAAGTATCATTAAGACATGGAGGAAAGGGAGGAACAATCACTGTTTCTGGCTCGGGTTGAGGCTTGAGAAGCAAGCACAAATCCGAAGTCAATATCAGTAATCAACAAGATCGTTTTGTATTAAATGAGCAGTGATATTAGATTTGGGTGTTGTGCAGTCGGTGTAACGTTTCGTGGCGGCAAATTTGCAATCCGAGATCTCCTACGTACAATAACTCTATCCACATTACATATATTTAGAGCATCGCCATGAATGATAACATGCAAATACGGAGATGTTCTCAATATGCGGCTGTAGTATCATATGGGCAGGTATAGATAGGGTGCTTGTAGGAATTCGGGCCCAACCCGATCGGGGCTTGAAGTACAGACATGGGACTGAACCTAAGTTAGAAGTTGATTTGAGTTACAAGGCTGAAGGCCCACAGCTAAGGCCGCAATTTGGGTTGGGTTAGTCCGAATCCACGGGTTGGGTTGGGTTGGGTTGATGCTTGGGTTAGGGTTAGGGTTGAAATTTATGAACCTAATTTTACTTTGAATTGGGTTAGGGTTGAGCCCTCGAGCAACCCGACTCAACTCGAGCCTAATTCTATAGTGTGTGTGTGTATGTATATATGTGTGTGTGTTTGTTTGTGTGTGATATTATTTTATACATTGATTTGTTTAGATGCATGATAGTTGTATAGCCACCACCATATACTATCATTTATTTCACTTAAGATAATCACTTCACTTAGTCCTAATTGGAAATACTAAGACCTTGATAACATATTTTATATTTTCTAAATATTTTATTCTTTATCTCCTCTCTATTATTTGCCACTCATATAGCTTGCTATCCATAAAATATCTATTATAAGTCATCATAATAAACTATAGTCATTTCAATCACTTATTTTCATAATTTTGTACTTAAATAACCAAAAAAAAACATCAACAAACAAATACTAATAAAACATAGGATTAATATCTATTATCTATATATAAAGGAAGGTAGTTAGGTTGAAGCCTCCCCCATTTAGACAAGTGGTGCTCTAATTTTTCAGAAAATAGTATTTTAGAAGTGGTTAGTTACATTTTCAAATAAAATTTAAAATTCAAATCACTATATCAAAATATTTACATTAATAGATGCATAGAAGCATACATGGTGGGACCCATTAAAACTACCACAAATACACGGTTCAAAATTTCTAATATAGAATATTTAAAAAAAATGAAATATTTCATATCATGGACCCGTACTTAGTACCGGGTCATGCCTAGTATGTAATGAAAGTTGATTTAAGGTCTAAGATTAAGAAGTTCTACAAGATTTTAAGGGATGGGAAGAAGGTTGGGTTGGGCCCAACCCGAGCCCAGCCCAACTCAAAGTTGTTGGGTTGGGTTAGTGTCGAAAGAATTTAGTTAGGATTAGGGTTGGGTAGGTTGGGTTGGGTTAGGGTTAAGGTTAAGGTTAAGGTTGGCCTCAACCCAACATAACTTGGTCCGACTTGTAGCCCTACCCACAACACCTCCACTAACCATGTCACAGTCGATTTTGGATTAGTTCTCACAAACGATCCTCGCACCGTCCTCACAATCCCTTTGTGCAATGAGAATATCGAGTCCCAATCTGCTCATCACATAGTGCACCTCACACGAATCTCACAACCCCATCACATCATGTATTGGAAATATCTTCCTATGAATAACAACACAAAGGACGAAAGATGTTCTCAATACATGGTGGAGTGGGGCTTTAGAGATGGAAATTTCACATAAATTTTCGGGTTCCCAACTCATCCCGGCCCTAATAGGACCTGTTTATCAAAACCCTACAGGGTTTGGGTTTTGACTTGAGGGTATATGATACCCAATACCAATGATGCATAAATATGAACCTATTATACTATATATTATGTACAAATTTATGAATTTAGTACTAAGATAATTATTCTATTATTAATATTTTATTTGTATGAATTTCTTGGGATTAAAATCATCATTAAATGTAAAATTGGATTTGATAGATTATTTATTTCATTTAGTTATAAAATGCTAATTTTAATTATTATTTCTTTTAGTTTTTAGTTGAATTGTTAATCATATATATGTATTGATTGTTTTAATGAACACAAAAGTTAATAAAATCTATTTTATTTCATTAAATAACACAAAAGGCGAGATGGCTTAGTGGTTTAAAGTAGTGTTAAGAGATTTGGCACTAACTTTAATTGATCTGGTTTCACACTATAAGCATTAATGGTATGTTTGGTTGCTGTGATGGAGAAGGGAAAATGGGAATATTCCCATATCGGGCTCTTCCTCCTACTCCATTTCTAGACAACCCTCACTATGAACCTACGTCAACAATGGTCTTCTTGCCAGCAATGTTATTGTTGATCTCCATACAAGGTACGATCACGAAGATGACCATCAACGACCGACGAGTATTTTTTATACTATTTTTGTAGCTGACTAATTCATCTTGTCAGCAGGAAGAGATGGCTGCTCTATGGCCAAAATCCATTATTTTCAACATGTAACCTTGATTTTTTCTATAGATCTACACTTCTATCTTGTAGATCTAACCTTTTTTTTTGCATGTGTGTTTTTTAACTTGTAGGGTCCAAATCTCCTTGCTCACTCGCGCAAAGGTAAGATATCCTAACTATTTTCAGATCCAAAATGATGAATGACTGCTATAGATCTCCTTACATTGCAAAACTAATCGATTTTCTTAGTAGACAAACGCAGGAAACTGGTTATTTAGCATATCATTTATCAGGAAACAAACACGGGATGCAAATCTATGAAAAAAATATTTTCTCTTCCAATCCCAATCTTTCTCATCCCATCATTTCTTGGCAAGTAGAAAGGTAAGACTTTTCATTTTATTTATTTGGTTCCTCACTCGTTGTGTCATGATCAAATTCGAGCATGTAAAAATGAAAGAAAATAGAAGAAATCTTATTTTTCAACAACAGGTATAAGGTATTCTTATTCTCTTCTCCTTCTTATCCATTCAAGAAAGAAGAGACGAACCCGTGAGAAGCACAAGATCAACCGCTTTAATATAAAAGAAAGGGAAAGACGAAGATTGGTGTGGTCTTGAGGTAGAACTGAACTGACTTATAACTACTCCAATAAAACTTGTAAGGGTTGGAAAAAGTGGATGATGGAGGAAGATTTCTCCATCGAGAAGGATTGGAAGGGATTTGTGCTATAAAGGAAAGAACATATAATAGGAACACAAGTGTTGTTTTTCAGGAAGCTATGAGAGATGGATTGGCCTTGGCAAAGAGAAGGGTTGGCAACCAAGGTAGGCGTGTCCGAAGGAGGCTAAGAAATCAATTACTTAAAGAGACTAAGAAATGGTGGAGTATTTATATTACTTATCAAAAGGTTTCTTTGGTCGGGGTTTTGTGCACCAGGCATTTGGCAAAGGAGTTTGGAGGACCGTCAATTATTCTATGCAATAAGGGTTTTGGTGTTTGTGACAGATAACTTGGGCTTTGTTTCATATTCTGGAGGAAGAAGATGATGAATAGTGTGTTTTATTTCCAAGGCTAATTTTGACATTTTCAAAAGTCTTAAAATTCACATGAGGTCATGTGATATACATAATTGATGTCCATTAACGACAGTTACTAGATTGTCACGATTCAAAAGTTTGGGTACTAGATTGTTGCATTTTAAAGTTCGGGGACCAAATTGTCATTCGAGCCAAAGTACAGGGTAATGATCGAGAATTTCCCCTAAAATAAACTATAAATTACCTTGATATTACCATGAAGAAAATGAATGTGAAGCTTAATTTATCTATATAAATATATTAAGCTGAAATGTGTACGAAGGAAAGCATGAGGATGCAAAAAAAGGAATATGACAGTAAGTTTTGCCTTTTTTCCCTTAGAAATTACAAGAATGCCACATAAAGACAAACCCCCTTATGTGATTGACTTGTAATTACTCCTATGTTATTATAAAATTACAAAAGACAAACCTTTCAATTTAATTGATTCCAAGGCATTCAAAAAATTAAAGGAATGCCACATATAAGACAAATCTTCCAATTTAATTGAAGGAAAATGTAGAGAAAGGAAGGGAAAGGTAAAGAAACCTTTACAAACCTTATATTGATTTCCCTATCTTTTCATTACTTTCCCTACATTTTCCTTCAAACCAAACATAGCCTAAGGCATTAAAAAAATTACAAGAATGCCACATATAAGACAAATATTTCAATTTAATTGACTCTAAGGCATTAAAAAATTACAGGAATGCCACATATAAGACAACTTTACTCTATTTACAATAATGCCTCTATGACATTCGAAAATTACAGCAATGTTATATATAATTATTTACAATTATGCCATCCTACAAAATAAAATGTCATCATTCTTCTCTCTCACTTAAGTCTCTCTCTATCCTCCTATTCTTTATCTCAACTTTTATTTATTCATTTATTTATTTTTATTATTATCTAAGCATTTATTTATTTAATAAATTATTTTAAATCAATAAAATAAAAGATATTTGACATTGAAATAAATATTTTAATAGGCATTTATTTTATTTAATTTATTATTATCTAACCATTTATTTAGTTAATAAATTATTTACAAATCCATAAAATAAAGGAGATTTTATATTGAGAGACAATTTTTTAATAGACATTTATTTATTTATTTTACTAAATTATTTATTTTATTATTATAGAAGTATTTATTTATTTAATAAAATTAAATAAATAATTTAAAAATCAATAAAATAAAATATATTTGACACTAAGAGAAAGATTTTAATAGGCATTTATTTATTTATTTTATTATTATTCAAGCATTTATTTAGTTAATAAAAGTAAATAAATTATTTATAAATGAGTAAAATAAAGGAGATTTGACATTGAGAGAAAGATTTTAATAGACATTTATTTATTTATTTAGAAATAATTTACTAACAAATTATTCTCTCCCCTTAAGCCCAATATTTAGGTAGAGTTGTCGATGGGTCGGGTTCAACCCAATGGACCCGAACCAATTGGGCCGATTCTAGTTCCGGAAATTGGAACCAGTGGGTTGATTATGGGTCCTAATATAGGGTCCCAATTACTATCAGTTTATAATATATTAAATAAATAAATTATATATACTATACATAATATATATATATAATATTTAATATATATTATACATAGATATTTATTTTTTATTTATTACAATCAAGTCTGTCAAGGTAGACCCGATTGTCTTGAGAATCAATTGGTTCGGTTCGGGTCCAAAAATTACAAAGCATATTGGGTCCAGGTCCAGATCTGGGTCCTCAACATTTCATGTTGGGCTGATTTTGGTTCCGACCCATTGGCAGTCCTATATTTTGGGCTTTCAATAGGTAGGTTTAAGCCCAACATTTATGAGGGGGCAAAAATGCAAGTGGAATGGGGGCCATGGCTTCCTTGGGTCCCCTTTAGGGGTGGATTTGAGCCAAGATACAAAAAATAAGAATTATAAAAATTATTTAATATTATACATAAAAATAAAAATATTATTATATAAAATAAAATTATTTATTATATATATGTATATAATAAAACAAATATTTATTTATTATACTAGGCTCGCGAGCCTCACGATCCGAGCTTCACTGGGCTCGAGATTGGCTTGATTAGCACACGAGCCTATATATCAGGCTTGAGCTCAGCTCGAAGCTCGGTTTAAACCAAGCCGAACCAAACTTTTCACGAGTCGAGCTCGAATAGCTCGTGGCCACCCCTAATCCCCTTGGTTTCACCCCTGGGGTTGGGATTAAACCTATTCACAGGTCACGTTGGAATGTGACCTTTGCCTTTATATCAATCGAACATATTCAAGTCCAACTTTGAGCATGACCAAACCATCGGACCTAGACCTTAAGCCCAAGCCCGACTCCATATAAATCCCGACGTTCGACCAATAAATTGAGAAAAAAGATTTGTATTCTTTATTTGACAACAAAATTGATTTATTTATATTAAATTGACTTCAAATGTGAAAATTTTAATTATTTATTTTATTAAATTAAATATATTATTATCACAATAAATATTTGATTTATTTGTTTTATAGAATTAAGTAAGTTATTATCAATAAATTTATATTTATTTAATTTACTAAATTATTCATTTAGTTAATAATTTATTTTACTAACAAATTATTTCTTTTCTCCCTGAGCCTAATAATTTATGGCTATCAATAGGTTAGGTTTGTGTTGGGCAGGGGCAGAGCTAGGAATTTTTTATGAGGGGGCTAAAATCTATGTGGATTTGGGGGGGGAGGTAATTTAGGGCTATTAATAGGTTAGGTATGGTTGGATAGGAGCAAAGCTAGGAATTATGACTATTAATTAAAACATTTATGTTTTGCAAATTCATTTTTTCCTATACTATAGTCTATAATTTAGCTTTTGCAAAGGGGCCCCTCTGCTAGTATCTCTTTAAAGCAGAAAGAGATTTGTATAAGGAGTCGGACTGGTTGTCAGTTTGGTGGAGAAGGACCATTGATGAAAAACTAAAGGGTAAAATACAAAAGCCTCCTCTAAAGTTGATGACAATGTAGTTTAACTTTAAAACAAATACGTCCCTTGAACTTTTGAAAAAATCAACAGAAACCTCTCTTCCATCACTGATCTAGATGGACAACATATAAAGTTACAAAATTACCCCTGATTAATTGGGGCATCATAGAAAATATATTAAAATTCTAAAGCTGCTATGAAGCCTTTTTTCAAAGCAAAAGAATAGAATTTAAACCCTAACACCACTAAACACTTGCATGGCACTATCATTCAAAATATTCCATTCACATAAGAATATTTCCCATTTTTTGGAAACCGTTTTTCACCAGCCACTGTTATTTACCGGCAACTGTTCTTCATTGTCTGCAATATCTAGTTCCCTCCTCGAGCAATTTCTCACCAGAGCATTTTTTTTTTGGTTTCTCTTGCTATGAGAAATGCATTTCATAAATAGAAAACAAAGACTCTGTTACCTAGAGACTCTGCTACCCATAGTCTCCGGCATTTCACCAATACCGCATGGAAAAATAACCAAGGCTCTCAAGGACAAGAAACCAATTCCTCTTATGTGCTGTAATTTGTTAACTTTTTCTTTTGAAGGTGTTACTAACATCATTGGTGGCTCGTAAGTTGAGTAACTAGTAGCCAACCGAAAAGAACCAAACAGAGTTATGCTTCATCGAATCCAAAAGCACATAAATAATAAAGCATAAATTCATTAAAGCCCATAAAAACCAAATCAAAGATTCAATAAATGATATTACATATGACCCAAAATGAGAAAAAAAAAAGATGCATTTAGAAGTGTCCATAAATACATAAAACCCAAAAGAAAAACAACATTGTAACAATTATTTTTCTTTTTTATATGCAATCAAACCCAATAATTAATCATTTGGCATTTCCGCTAGAAAACCAGTATCACGAATCCAAGATGTGATTAAAAGATTAGGCAGCCTTTAACACTTCTCAGCCAACCTCCTGGTGAAGAACAATCACCTGAAATAGTTCACCTTCTGATCTATAGCTAAAGTTCAAAATTTATCCTTGTTTTCCTGTGCATAAACCAGAAATGTTGCCTCACTTCTTTAACAAACAATCTCCAATGGTCAAATGTTGTTTCCCTTCTTGGTTGGAGTAAGTTTCAGGACTGAAAGAGTCAATGGTGGTTGCTACCTTTTCTTGAGTCGATGGAGTTTTAAGAACGAGAGATTAAAATAGGAGAAAGTGATAAATATTCTTCCAGGGTTCCTCTCTTCTTGGGTTGATGGAGTTTTAAACAAGGTTCCTAGTTAATGGAGTTAAAGAATGGGAGATTATAAGAGAAAGAGATCAACAAGAGGGTAGAATGGGTATTTGAAAAAAGCTGATGTATTAGTCTAATGTTTTCTGTTTGGATTAGTGATGGAAGGGAGGTTTTGATGAGTTTTTCAAAAGTTTAGGGTAGGTATTTGTTAAAGTTAAACTAATGGGGAGGTTTTTGTATTTTACCCAAAACTAAACCATATTACCAAACCGTCGGGACTCGGGAATAAATTAATAATAAATAAACCTTCACAATTCAAAATTTCAAACTGGAACAAGTCTCCTCTAGTGCAGACAGGTTAGTAATATATAGCCGTTAGAGAGGCTGAAGTGGCTGTTTGTCGTCTATTATTATATCACAAGCCCTTTTTCTTTTAATGCCAAAAGTGTCCCGTAATTCAAAACGCAAATGCGCGGCGACGTCTTCGGGGACCTCAAATTCAAACTAAACACTATCTCAGCCGTTCAATCCAATTTCATAAAATGTTCAAAACCATGAACTCTGTTCAGCGATTTTCAGTTGGAGAGTGAGGTGAGGGGGAGAGGGTGGAATTGCGAAAGAAGAAAGAGAAAAATTCGTGTTTCTGAAAACTACATTCTGTAAATGAATCAAGATCCAAGAGTTTCTAGCCATCCCACGACGACCTATTTCTTGGACATTTCAAGATCTCCCTCGAAAACCCTAAAACAGAAGCAGCTGAGCTAATTATCAGATCGATAAGATTTCAGGAGTTCGTCGGCTTTCTATATTATTTCTCAATTCCTCTTTCAGGTATACATATATTATCGTGGATAGCTCCACTAATTTTGTGCGTGTGCGTTGGAGAATGTATGCATAAATCTGGCTTACGTCTTGGCATTATTTCCCTATTCAGAATAGGTTTATAGTTTTCATTTCCCTCAGTAACAAGTCTTACATTATTGTTGGAAATATATTACAGAATGTTAAGGGACTTGAAAATCTTTCGACGGAATTCTGGGAAGAATCCCACTGCAGAGGAAATTGAGAATGTTCCAGTAAATCCTTCTGATTCGTTGATAATTCAACCAACTGTTGACGTGTCGAGGGCCCCTTTAAACACGATCGCAGAGCTTACTCAAAATCCTAAAGTTGTAGCACCAGAACAAGATGCAGGCGTTAGGAATAAGGTGGACAGAACTCCTTCTAAGACAAAGGGAAAAGGCTATGATGTCACAGGGCTCCTTCGCACTCCAGAGAAACAAGGAATTGGTCATTCCTCAAGGAATAGATTTGGGTGGTCACAGAAGAATGAACCTAATTTGAATGTCGCTGAAACACGCGACGAAGGGAGAGCTGACATTAGCTACGGACCTTCAAGCCGTGGGAATTTGGGTTCTGCAAACACGACTCCTCGTTCATTTCGGGTAACGGGGAGAGCTACATCAACCCATTCCGAAAGTAATTCAACACAAAGCACACCAACCAAGAGTGTGACCAAGCCTCCTAATCCAGCATTTGCTCCACTTAGTGTCTGTCGCCCTCCTTTGAACTCAGGTGCTCGCTCGGGAAATAGTACTGTCCTGTCTAAAGGGGTTTCTATCTCATCTGCGCCACAATTGGTTGTAAATACTGTCGAAGTGCCTCACTTCGAGCCACGAGAGGATCCGTCATTCTGGATGGATCACAATGTACAGGCAAGTTCACCCTATTGTGATTGATTTATTTCTATTTTGTGATCATTAACACAGATCAAATAGATATTTTATTGATAAAGAAAACCCCTTCTGTTAAAATCAAACATCCGGGAACAGTAGATAATATCATACAGCTTGATAGCCGACATTAACACAAAAATCGATGCTTTAAATCAGCAGAAAATTCATCCCTGTAATTGAATACAGCTTCAGGATTCCCCATAATGGTACCTTCCTAAAAGTCCCTTCTTTTGCGAGACCATAGACTAAGGAGTTAGCTGATCTAGGTATCCAATTGAACAATCTGTTCAGGAAGGTGGCTAATGCCTTTTTTCTAGGGATAAGTAGACTGCACTCCACCTCAGAATTCTGATTTCCACTGCAGACCTACAACAATTCAAAATTTCAAACACCTCCACTTAAACACCTATACCCTTAACCCACTACCCACCCGTGTATTGGCATCAATTCTGAGCTGGTACCTACCCCAACTGTATGGTGGAGCTAAGATTCGTGGAGGTGGACTGAACAGTAAAAACCCCTTTTTTCTAATCTATTATACTGTTGTCATCACCATCTAATCTTTGTCCCAAATATATGGGGTCATCGGCTACATGAATCCTGTTTCACCATTCCGTTCTGTTCAGTGCCATATCCATTGTTAAAATTATGCACTTTCTCAAATCATTATATAATTTTGTAAGTGATGGAAAACAATAACATGAATGGGCATCATTGGCATTTTATTTATGGGTTAATACTCATTGTGTTGCACTTTTCTAGGTTTTAATACGTATACGTCCTCTCAATAGCATGGAAAGGAGCTCTCATGGTTACAACAGGTGCTTGAAGCAGGAGAGTGCACAAAGCATTACATGGATTGGACAACCAGAAACTCGATTCACATTTGATCATGTAGCATGCGAAACTGTCAACCAGGTCTGGTTAGAAAGAGAGATAAAAGATAAGAGGTAGAGAGAGAGAGAGAGAGAGTAATTGAAGTTCTTAATTTGTTCAAATTATACTTTATGCAGGAAATGCTTTTTAGAGTGGCTGGTCTTCCAATGATAGAGAATTGTCTGTCTGGATACAACAGCTGTATTTTTGCTTATGGTCAGGTATTTCTGTGATATCTAAACTTGATACCATGTCCTTAGCTTGATTGGAAAATTAATGGCAGACATAAATACCGTGGTAGTGTAAGAAAGAAAACTACCTGTAAATACGAAGGTAATGTGACCAAGGTCAAACATAGGAACTCTCATAAGCTTCTTTATTGGCATTTGTTACTCTACCATGAACACAAATGCTAGCCACATGCCCATGTTCTAATCTTGATATATATGCATAGGCTCTAGTCCCCAGTTTTCATCTGTCATATATGTACTGATATATCAATGTTTGGAGTGGGTTAGCTGAATTTGGTAACTGTTTTACAGGCTGTGGGACCAATCATTTTGCTCCTTACCAGCCATAAATGCAAGTGAGAGATTGAGTGATTGTGGGCCATATGCCCATATGCACTTTATGGCTGTTGTGGAGCAAAATGATTGGCCCCACAACCATTTAAACAGCTATAGAATTCAGCTAATATAACCATTTAGAGAGTATCTACCATTTATTTAGTGGTAATAAGGTATTATTTGACTTGGAAAAATGGGAGAGTTTCACATCTTCCCATCGGCAGATGGTGGACCTTACATGAGTCTGCACAGATTTGTAGAATGCTTTGAGATTTGAATCCTACCATATAACATAATCACATGCTCCAACTAAAGATCCCTAGATTGAAAAACCAGACCAAATCAATATCATAATCACAACTACATCCCCTCCTTTCTAGGTACTTTTCTATATTATTTTCTAAAAGCAAATTTGTTGGAGAAGATGGAGTTGTGCCAACATTTATCAATTTTTATTACAAGATAAATGCAATTATAAATTACAACCTCATGGGGGGTATTAAAAACATATTATATTTTTCATTGATGGGCAGAAATCTATTTGGGGTAAAAGGGGTAATGGTACCCAGTTTTCCAGTCTTCATATGTCTATGTATGTGTGTGTGTGTGTATACTATGACATTTTGGGGTATGCACCTCGCCCAGGTCCTAGGTGCAGGCCTGGTGCGCCTAGGCGTGCACCTGATGCGCCTTGCACCTGATGTGTAATGGTACCCATTTTTCCAGTCTTCATATGTCTATGTATGTGTGTGTGTGTGTGTATACTATGACATTTGAATCCAGTGATTTAAAAGGTGCGCCTCGCCCAGGTCCTAGGCGCACGCCTGGTGCGCCTAGGCGTGCACCTGATGTGCCTTGCACCTTAGCCTAGGCGTGCGCCTTTTTAAAATTTTGTGCTTTTTTGCTGTTTTTTGAGTCTAATGGCTGGGCCGGGGGCTCTACCCCCGGACCCCCAACCATGCCCCTCGAGGCAAGCCCGAACAATTCTATGTTAGGGTCTGAAATTCTTATTTTTCACATAAAAAATAATGATTTTATAACTTTCATTGCCTTTTAAGAAGATATTTTATTGCAATGAATGAATGAACACCATTAGTAAATAGGGGGTGGGCGTGGTACAAAGGCGACTCATAGAATCAAGAATGCAATATGTTTTACATCACATTAGCTACTTGAAGCAATGCAATTAAGGAGAAAAAGAGATTGTGGGTTTTACATGCTTGAAAATGCTTTATATGTTTACTTTTATCTTTAAATTTTCATTTGAATACGCTTTACATGTTATGTTTATNGGGTTTTACATGCTTGAAAATGCTTTATATGTTTACTTTTATCTTTAAATTTTCATTTGAATACGCTTTACATGTTATGTTTATGTATTTTAATTTTAGATRATWGGTTTTYTAAAACAYTTRTTTKAARHYTYAWGTTTATATTTTTTATTAACATTATGTTTAATATTTTTTTTTGATTTTTTTGCATTTAATTTTTTTTGAATTTTCTGACTTTTTTTTTTGATTTTTAGCTTTTTTTTTGTAATTTTGTGCTTTTCTTAAAAAGGTGCACGCCTCGCCTTGCACTTCAAGCGCAAATTGGCCCTTGCGCTTTTTTTGCGCCTTAACACTGTTTGGATCCTACCATATCACATATTCCCATGTCTAAAGATTCCTATATTGAAAAGTAACCAAATCAATATCATGATAAAAATTACCTTCCGTCCTTTCTAGGTAACTTTCCATATTCTTTTCAAATTTTAAGAGAAAATTTAATTGTAGGAAATGAGATTTAGGGGACAATTATCAATTTATTAAAAGATAAAGGCGGGTATAATTTGCAACATCAGGAGTATTTGGGAAAACTTTTGACACTTTTTCCTTGATGAGTAGAATCTATTTGGGGTAAAAGGAATGAATTCCCAAGGGCTAACATAAATGAAGAACTTGCTCCTTACCTCTTAAATGATTTTTTTTTTTCTAATTGTTTGAATGAATGCAATGCATGATTGCTAAAATATTATCAGTTAATAATATTAAATTTTAATATAATTTGGAACTTCTGAGTGGTGTATTATGTTCCTTCTCATACATGAATCATATGATGCAAGCTCCATAGCATTCCTGTGATTTTGAGTAATAAATTAACTTGATTTTATCAAATTTACCATATGAACTTGTACAATTACCTTTTCTATTGATGTTAATTACTTAATTGCATCTGGGACTGTCTTCTAAGCCCTTTATAATTTGTTACTAAAACACAAATGAATTTATTCATGTAGACAGGAAGTGGAAAGACATATACCATGCTTGGCGAGATTGATGAACTGGAAGTCAAGCCAAGTCCAGACCGTGGGATGACACCACGCATCTTTGAATTCTTGTTTGCAAGAATTAGAGCAGTAACTTTTAAACCTCCATGTTAATCTAGATGATTAAACTTTTAAATTTCATATACTGCAGCTGATAGATGCTTTCTTTTTGGTTGCAGGAAGAGGAAAGCAGAAGGGATGAAAAGTTAAAATATAATTGCAAGTGTTCCTTCTTAGAGATTTACAATGAACAAATTACGGATCTCCTTGATCCTTCATCCACAAATTTGCTTGTAAGTTGCCATTTTTTACAAAGTTCATTCATCATTGTCATCATCATCATCATCTAAGCCTTATCCCAACTATTTGGGGTCAGGCTGGTCAGCTACATGAATCCTGTTTTTTCATTCCATTCTGTCTAGTGCCATATCCATTGATTATATAACTCACTGCCCTTGGAAATTGGATTATTTCTAATTTGATGGTACCTTGATAACTCTAGCTACGGGAGGATATTAAGAAGGGAATATATGTTGAAAATCTTACTGAGTTTGAAGTCCAGACTGTTAATGACATTCTTAAGCTTCTTGCTCAGGTAACCTTTGATTAAGCTTGGTACATCCTCCCTCCTGTGTATGCTAATTTTTATCTCTTTTGATTAAGATTGGTACATACACCCTCATGTGGTGCCTTAACTTTCTCTTTCTCAACAGGGTGCTGCTAATAGAAAAGTTGCAGCGACAAATATGAATAGAGAGAGCAGCCGATCGCATTGTGTTTTCACCTGTGTGATAGAAAGTAGGTGGGAAAAAGATTCTACTTCTAACCTACGGTTTGCAAGACTAAACCTTGTAGATCTTGCTGGTTCAGAAAGGTAATATTGGGTTCTCTAGCTTGTTGATGACATGCATGCTTTAAGTATGCTTGAGTTGTGGTACTCAATAAAAAATTATCATTCTTTACAGACAAAAGACATCTGGGGCTGAAGGCGAGCGCCTAAAGGAAGCTGCAAATATCAACAAATCATTATCCACACTTGGGTATTTTGCTTGATGTCAAGTTGCTTTGATTATTTTCATATTTCATAAAGTTATTAAATCCTTGTTGGCTGATTCACTTTGCAATTTATGTCATGTTTCTAGTCATGTAATCATGGTTTTGGTGGATGTGGCACATGGGAAGCAACGGCATGTTCCTTATAGAGACTCAAGATTGACATTTCTTCTTCAGGTTAGATTTTAAATTCCTAATTATGAAGGCTTTTTAAGTTCTGAAATTACCTAGGTATGATGTCAAGTTTCATTTACAATGCATTACAGGATTCACTTGGTGGAAACTCAAAAACTATGATCATTGCTAATGTCAGTCCTTCAATCTGGTAGGTCTTGCTATTTTTGCTTTCATCGTTGCTGTCTCAGTTTGTCCTATTTTATAACAAATTCTCATAAATCTTCATTGCAGTTGTGCTGCCGAAACACTAAGCACTCTAAAGTTTGCCCAGCGTGCAAAACTTATTCAGAACAATGTAATGGTTTTATTACTTTTATTGCTTCGATTAATATAATATGTAGTGTATTTTTCGTTACGTGATCATAGTTGATTCTTCTTTTTCCTTGTAAATTCAAGGCTGTTGTGAATGAGGATGCTTCAGGGGACATAATAGCATTACAACATCAGATACGGCTTTTAAAGGTTATATGGAATCTTATACATATTTCATATAAGTTTTAGTTCTGTGTTTTAAATTTTAAAATGAACTTAAATTGGAGTTATATAAAACAGGAGGAGCTTTCTGTTCTCAAGCGCCAGAATGTCTCTAGGTCTCTTTCATTTCGTTCAGCAATATTTGAAGATGCTGATGTGGAAGGATATGAAACTTCTTCTTTAAGAAAGACACATGAAATGGATCAGAGCACTACTGATGATTCACATGGTTCTGCCTCTTCGGGCATCATTAGAATGTCCACTAAACAGGTGATGCTGCTTGTTCTTGGCACATTTTGTTTCTGAGATATAATGCAGTTGTTGATAATCTACAGAAGACATTTAGGATCATCTTAGGTACAATTTCCTATTCAATATGTCTACCAGTAGATTAGTGCTAAAACTCCACACGTGTCTCCATTCAAGTGTATTCTGGTTTATGCCTACTTGATAGTTACATTAGAACTCTCTCTGCCCCCAAAACACGGAAGCTTGTTTCTTCAAAATCATCACTCACTTCCAAGGGCTGTGGTGGTCTCATCTTAATCTATTTCAGCTGAAATCGTTAGAGACCATACTTGCTGGTGCATTGAGAAGAGAAAGGATGGCAGATACTTCTATCAAGCAGCTTGAAGCTGAAATTGAACAGCTGAACCGCCTGGTAATTCTCTATCTTTGAAGCACCCAATTTGTTTTTTAGCTTATGTTTCTGACCAATGTGCTTGGATAATTACCAAACACCCATTGCTTCTCAGGTTCATCAAAGAGAGGAGGACAACCGGAGCACTAAAATGATGCTGAGGTTCCGTGAGGATAAAATTCGAAGAATGGAGTCACTTGTGGGTGGTATATTGCCTCCAGATGCATATCTGTTGGAAGAAAACAATTCTTTATCTGAAGAGATACAAATACTTCGTGCTAAAGTTGATAGAAACCCAGAAGTGACTCGTTTTGCATTGGAGAATATTAGGCTATTAGATCAACTTAGAAGGTAACACCTTAGAATTTCATTGGATAATTGTATGAGAGCCAAAACTTCTTTACTAATGTACTACCTTCCCTTGTATGCTTGTAGATTTCAAGACTTCTATGAGGAAGGGGAGAGAGAACTTCTCTTGGATGAAGTATCTGAACTGCGAAATCAGGTATGTAGCAGATCTCTGATGAAATTACAGTGCCTATTATGCTGGTGGTGTTATTCCTATTGTAAATGATGAGTTCTTCTTTTACAGTTAGCTCAGTTCCTAGAAGGAAAAACTGGACAGCATGATTTTCCTCACTTGAATATGCTACCTAAGGTTGGTCAATTTCATAATCTTGTTATTTTCCTTCCAAATTTCTCTTGGCGATTAGGTTTATGTTGTGTTCACATCTCCCTTTTCGTTGATTCTTTACGCATTTTCTCTACAGAAACAGGAAGCTGTACATGTGACCAAAGAAAATGATGGCTTCCATTTGGAGGTTGCTTATTTATACTAAATTGAAACTATGACTTTTCTTTGAGAAACTGCATTTATGTCTGATATTTACTTTTATTATTGGTCTTAGCTGGAAAACACCCGCAAAGAATTAGAAGACTGCAGGAACAACCTAAAATCTTGCTTGGAGATGAATGCAAAACTAACTTGGTAATTGCAATCTGACACCGTGATAAATTCTGTCTTGTCAGATTGGAACCAACAGAATCTTGCAGCAGTCTCTGATTCTTGACGTCTATCTTTTTGCTTTCCTTTTTCTACAGGGAAATAGATGACCTGCGTTTTCAGCTCAAGAACCTTAAATCTTCCACATTTGATGCAAATGCTGAACCAATGAAGGTGAACATTCTTGTATTGGTTTATGATTTCTTTAAATTTGTTGCATGAAAGCCTGCATGTTTCTTTAATGGTAGGTATCTAATTACCTTAATTTTCAGGAGTCCATGGCAGAAGCTCAACTATTCGAGGCTCAATTGCTCAAAGCAGTTCAAAAAGAAAAAATTGACTGGGAGCAACAAACTCTGATGAAACACACAGAAGAAATCATGAATTTGCAGCTGGAGTTGGACATACTAAAGATTATTCTCCAAGAAGAGAGGTCATTGCATGGTGAGGTAGAGAAAAGGACTTTATGCTTGAATAGAGATCTTGAGATAGAAAAAGAAAGATCTTTGCAGATCATCAAGCAATATGAAGATGTGAAGAATGAATTGAAGGATGCAAGAAATGTAATTGAAGCTCTTGAGTCCCAACAAATTTTATCAATCAATGAACTAGGGGATCTAAGAGTCAGCAACAGCCAATATATGGAGCTTCTGAGTAAACAAGAACAGGAAATCTTCATTTTAAAAGAACAACTTTCTAGTCAAGAATTAAAAAATAACCTACTTTTAAAGGTTTCAGATAGAGAGGATTCTTGCTTACGGGCAAAACTGAAGAAAATGCATGATTCTCTTGAAAAGGCCAAGAGGCTGAACATGTCCTACCAAAGTGATCAAGCATTTCAGACATCACATGAGCAAGAAATGGATGAAGTTCGCAGGCAGGCTGAAGCTGAAACAGCTGAGGTAATTGTCTGTTTGCAGGAAGAGCTGGCCACTCTTCAGTATCAACTCGAGGAAAGCAGTGCAAAAGAGATGGAGACAAAACAGAGCTTGATGCATCTGGAAACAGAATCTAAGGAGCTCCAGGAAAGGTTACATTTTATGACCCAGAATACTGAAAGGCTTGGGGAACTGATAAAGGAGAAAGATTTGGAAATAAGGGCATTATCTGAAGAGTGGGAAAGACTGGCTTCTGACATGGAAGAAGTTCTTGCTGATGGACATGAGGCACTGAAAGATGCCTCTGATCAGCTTGATTTGATCTCCAGTTCCATCCCTCACAGAAGGACTTGGATTGGTGAGCAGGTAAATAAGATGATAAGAACCATTACTGAGAAAGAATTAACTATTCAAGAGCTCCAAAGATGTGTGGAGGATGCACATGACATAAGGAATGACATGGATTGGAAACTCAGGTCTTTAAGAGGTGCAGTACTGGCTATAACTGAAACACAGCAGCACGAAAGAAATGAGAAAGAGAAAGAGGTTTTCCTTTTGAAATCACAGTTGAGTGCAAAAGATACAATCATAGCAGATTTAGAAAATAAGATAAGTTTTGAAAAAAGGCAGTGTAGCAATGCAAAGATTTGTGCAGTTGTTGCCTTTGTAATTGTAAACAGATTGTCTGAAATAAACCATGGTTATCTAGATGCATTGAAGAATAAAGATCTCCAACTTAGTGAGTCTGTAGAATTGAATTTGAAGATGGATACTCTTTTCCATGAAAAGGTTGCTGTAATTGAAGAAGCAGAAAAACAGATAAAAGATCTAACAATTGAACTAGAAGCATCTAAGGAGACATGTGCTATGCTTGAAGAGAAACTTACTGAAGAGAAGAAACAAGCTTGTTCCATGGAATGTAAGCTTGAAGAATTTGAGAAAGATTTCCTTTTGAAAACAAAGCAGAAACTAGATGAATTGAAAAGTGGTTTTTTCACACTCAATTCATGCATGAGTGAGTACACAGAGCCAGTTGGAGGGCCTGAGAAGGTACATGCCCCAGGAAGGCATGAGAATATCTGTGAGGAACACGATTCTGTTGGAGGGGTAAGCAAATATTTTACTTCTTGTACACAACCAAACCATCTGAAAACTATTTATTTTCCTGGTTTTGTCAAGATGATAATTGTTAGTTTATTAATTATTTTGACTTGGGTTATTGCAGACTGGGACTGAAAAAAGTGAACGAAGCAGAAATGAAGAGTCAGATGTTGCTGTGGATATGACAAATGACATTACACAAAATGATTTAAAAATAGAAAAGGACACTTATGCATGTGAACTAAAAAGTTTGGAACCTGGAAGGAATTCAAAAGATGTGTTTGATAGAGATATTACTATTCTTCTTCTGAAAAAAGAAATAGAATCTGCACTTGTCAGCTTAAGAGGAGTACAGGTTCAGATGGCCAAACTACTTGATGAGAAAGAGGAGATTAGAAAGTCTGAGAAGAAGAGTCGTCAAAGTGTGGAATGTCTCAAAGCCCAGGTTCTTGCACTTCAAGCAGAGATGAGCAGCATGGAGAAACAATTTAATCTCAAAATGATGGAGCTAGACAATAAGCTTCAGACAGTTGAAGAGGTAGACACCTATATGTTTTCTTTCTTTCTTTCTTTCTTTTTTCTAGAATGTGAGAATGATAGCACTTGTTCATTCATTTTATGCACTTGCTGCATAACTAGGTTTTATTTTTCAAGGCAAAATTCAGACTCTAAATTTTCTGTTTGACCTTTTCTTCTCAACTATACTTGACCCCTTCTTTAATAATCTGTACAGGTGCTTGAGCTTGAGCTCACTGATGCAAAGGTGGTTGCAGCCCAGAAAAGTGCTGAGGCATCTTGTCTTCTTGCCAAATTTGAAGAGGCTCAGGAAACCATGAAAGAAGCAGATGCTGTGGTGAATGCACTGATGCTAGCAAACGAAAGTGCGAAGCTTGAGATTGAAAGGCTTAAAAAATTAGGAACTGCATTAGAAAGTGAGAGGGGCTCCTTGATCAAAGAGGTTCAGAACTTAAAGTCTTTGAATGATCTGAAGGATCAACAATATGATGACCTAGAAAACCAATTTAAATCAAGTTTATTAGAAACAAGGGGTCTAGTTCTTGAACTGGAGGACATCATTGCACAAGTCCAGGCCAATTTTGAGGAAGAGTTTGAATCAGTAATAGGTGAACTGAATTGCATGAAATCTCAGGTCCTAAGTTCTACAAACTTAATGAGCTCATTGTTGGAGGATGTATGGTCTGAGATAATTGTAAAAGATTGTGCAGTGTCAGTGCTACATCTTTGTCACATGGGAGTTTTGTTGGAGATGGTAACTGGGCTAAATGCAGAAAATGGACTGCTTCATCATGGACTATATGAATCAAACTCCCTCATAGCTGCTTTGAGGGAGCAAAATTTTAAAGCAAAAAAAGAACTTGAAATGTGCAGAATCCTGAAAGGGAAGCTTCTGGTTGACATCAAGAATAACTTTGATCGTATTGCTAGGAAAGAAGATGAAACTGGAAAGCTCAGTGCAAAGTTGATGTCTTTTGAGAAGAAAATCTTGGATTTACAACTCCAAGAAGAGTCCATGTTGGCCAGATCAAATTCAATGGGCTCTGAGCTTGCCATTCTGATGAAGGAGCTGGACATGAGCAAACAGAATTCTTTGAGAGTCACTTTGGATGAAGAGAAACTACTTAAAGACAAAGAGAAGGTTATAAAATCTCTGGAAGAGTTTATCATGACCAATTTGTCTGCAAAAGAATTTGAGTCTCTTGTTTTGAAATCAGAATTGAAATTGATGAACCTTCAAAGAGCTGATCTGGTGAGAGAGGGATGTAGACTTGCAGAAGTGCTTGATAATTTGAATAAAGAAATGATTTTACTTATGGTAGATTTAGAAGTTGAAAAGCAATTGTTAATGGATACTGAGTCTGAGGTTGAGCTTCTAAAGAAAGAAGCTAATGAAGCACATAATGACAGGCAGGGCATATTGCAGAAGCTGAAGCAAAGTAGCTTAAAAATCACAGAGATGGATAAAGTGAATAAAACCCTTGAACAGGACATTCAATTATTAAAAGAAGTTTCCTGCTTGAGCCAAAGTGAGCTTGATGAGGCCCTCAAAGATAAGGAAAGACTGTTGGCACAGGTTCAAGTGCTTGAGATTGAAAAGAAAAGACTTCATGAAGAGATGAGCTCAAAGGAAGCAGCCTTGAATTCTTCTTCTAATCATATTTCAGCCCTTAAAATCCAAAATCAGAAGTTGCAGAATGATGCAAGCTTGCTGGACTCTTCTGTTTGCAGGCTGCAAACTGAAATTGACCAAGAAAAACACAGATTGCAAGACAGAATTTCTTCCCTGGAAGCATGCATTTCTAGCCTGCAGATTGATCTGGAGATTAGAAATGCAGAAATGGAGAGGCTTGAGCATTCTCAGTCTGTCTCTGTGGAGGAACTTAGATCCAATAGACAGGATTTAGAGTTCCAAATTGACAAGGTAAATGCCTTGAAGGAAGAGAATGGTTCTTTGAAATATGAACTTATGTCTGTTGGGCAGAAGAGGGATGAAATTCTCTCTCTGATAAGATTAAATGCTAAGAATTGTGTTGATTTATTCAAAGTTGTGGACATGTCAGGGAACAAAATATGTGAAATACTGGAGGAGAAAATTTTGACATTATTAAATAGAATGTTTCAGGAGATATCTGAAAATGAAGAAAGGGTCTCTAAGGTCATAGTAGAGTCGGAGCACTTGGAGCATTTTGTTCAAGAGCTGATCTCAGAAAATTTGTCTCTCCAAGATGAGTTACTGAGGAAAGAAGATGTTTTGAAAGGTCTGCTGTTTGATCTTAGCTTGTTGCAAGAGTCAGCATCCAATGCCAAGGACCAAAAAGATGAACTTGAAGAAATGGTTGCTGCATTGGAGTCATTGGAAGAAGAACTTGCAGCTAAATCAGGCGAGCTTGATGAGGCTGTTGCCCATGGTCAAATGCTTGAAAGTGATTTGCAAGGGAAAATCAACATGATATCTTCCCTTGAGTTAGATATCTCAAAAGAGCGTGAGTCACTAAAGCTGCTTTCAGATCAAAATCTTGAACTGAAAGTTCAAGTGGAAGATCTTTTAACAGAAAAAACTTCTACTGAAGAGGAGTTAACAGAGAGAAGAAGAGTGACTGAAAGGTTAGAAGAGGAAGTCCTTGAAATGGGTAATGCCTTGGGAGAAATGAATAATTTCATTGAGTCCTTGAAGAATGACTTGGATAAAGTATCTACAGAGAGGAATGACCTTTACTCTGAGGTTCTTACATTGAAAGAAAAACTAGAAACTGTGCAGGCTCTGGCTGAAGAAAATGAAGCTATTGCCGTGGAAGCTCGACAGGTATGTTTTTATTTGGTGTGGTGATTATTTTAATTCTTTGTTATTTCATTGCCTTTCTTCTTTTCTGATTCATGTTTTTATTCTGTTACAATCAGATGGCTGAGTCAAGAAAAAATTATGCCGAAGAAAAGGAAGAGGAAGTGAAGCTGTTAGAGAGGTCTGTTGAAGAGTTGGAATGTACTGTGAATGTATTGGAAAACAAGGTGAACTTTGAACTTTGTTTCTATTTTAGATGTAGATCTTTGTTCTTGTTTACCTTTTTACATTGGTTTTGCGCTTTTCTAGGTTAACATTGTCAAAGGGGAGGCTGAAAAGCAACGGTTGCAGAGGGAAGATCTGGAAATGGAGCTTCAGTCTTTGAGGCATCAGATGCTTACAGTACATAATTCTAGCATTATGATGAGTTCAGATACTCAAAATGTTTCAAATGTTGATCTCCAAAGGTTAGGAGCAATTATAATCAAATGCATGTCAGAATCGTACTGAACTGTTCACTTTAACACTATTATCTATTCTCGCTTTCAACAGGAAGCTAGAAGAAAAAGAGATTGACATGCAAGAAGCCCAAAAACAAATAAAGATTCTTGAGAAGAATGTTGCTGAGAAGGAGGCAGAGGTTCACCTTTCATATGCCTGTTTCATTAGAAGTTCCTAAATTTTTGCAAAAGATGGTAAAAAAGTATTCTAACAGCATACTGGAATTGACAAGTTTACCGTTTACCTACAGATTTCACAGTGCAGAGCTCATATTTCAGAGTTGAATTTGCATGCAGAGGCACAGGCACGTGAGTATAAGCAGAAGGTAGCCCATCACTTCACAGTAATAAGTTTTCAAATGTTACAATATTGTCTTATTTTACTGCCTTAGTTGTTAGATGACATCATACAATTTGCTCATTACTGCCTTAGTTGTTAGGTGACATCATAGAATTTGCTGCCTCCTTGTCCTCCTTTTACCATCTGCAGCTCAACTGACTTTGAGACATGAAAGCAGTTCAAAGCATTGGAAGCCATGGCTGAACAAGTCAAACCTGAGCAGACATCCTCCCATATTGCAAATTTATCATCGAGTAAACCAGAGAAGAATGCTGCAAAATCAAGGGGTTCTGGTTCCCCTTTTAAATGCATTGGTTTGGGCTTGACACAGCAAATAAACTCTGAAAAGGATGAGGAGCTTAATGCAGGGAGGCTTCGTATAGAAGAGCTTGAAGCATTAGCTGCAAGTCGACAGAAAGAGGTTGGTATTTTTCTCCAGCATGTTTGGCTTGACTTGTTCTCGTTTTGCCAAGATGTGATATATATTCATTCAAATTCTCTATATTTCTCCTTCCAGATATTCATGTTGAATGCTAGACTAGCTGCTGCAGAGAGCATGACTCATGACGTTATTCGGGATTTATTAGGAGTAAAATTGGATATGACCAATTATGCTGTAAGAATATGAATACCCTTAATCTCTTTTCCCTTTTCTTTCTTTAATATTGCTTCATACTTCTTATCTTCAGAAATTTGACTTGGTTCTTAAGCTACTTTATTAGTGTATTTTCTTAGGAATTTCTTCTATTTGACTTGGTTCCCAAGTATAGTTATGCTTACCAACCTTTCCTTGTGGATGCTAGTCGCTGTTGGACTGTCAGCAAGTACAGAAGATAACAGAGAAAGCTCGGCTACATAGTGAAGAATCTGTACTGAATGTTTTCTTTTCTTCTTTTAGTGATCTAATTATCTTGACTAGTTTCTTGCTAATGAGTACTCTTATTCCTTGAAAAAATTTCTCTCACGCAGGAGCAGGAGGTGCTGAAACTGAAGCAGCAACTTAATGAATTTATTAAAGAGAGACAAGGGTGAGCAACTGCAACATGGAAAAACTCTTATTCTGATAATTTTTGCTTCAGCATTTCCAAGTTGCATCTTTGTCATCTTTGTTTTGTTTTATAGATGGCTGGAAGAAATAAACCAAAAACATGCCGAGATGGTGGCTGCTCAAATTGCACTGGAAAAACTTCATCAGCGGGATCAGTTTCTGACAACAGAAAATGAAACACTGAAGGTTCAAAAAAAGACTTACAAATTAATTTTAGTGGATTGATATATGTAAAGTTGGATTTTTTTTAGTTTTTATGCTCTTATTCAATTTTTAATATGTACAGATAGAGAATGCAAACTATAAAAAGGAAGTAACAGAACTTCAGAGTGAAGTGAAGAAGCTCTCTGGCCAGCAAAATCTTCAGCAGCGCATCCATCATCATGCGAAAATCAAGGCACATATGATCATTCCCAATTGACTTGAGTATTTGGAAATCTTAATATTATTTGTCGAAAAGGAGAATTAGAATTTAGTTTATTGGCCTAAAAAAGCATTTTGGGTATATCTCAATAAAGTAGTTGTGATGTGGGCAATAAATCAGAGTTGACCATATCTATCAAGGGTTTATGGGCACTGAAAAATAAGGTGCCATTTGGCAAGTCTTTTTAGGAAGATCTTCTGGCAGCCCAGATGGAAAGGCCCCTAAAATTTTCAGATTATTTGTTGATTTAGTCTTAGGTACAAAGCATTTATTTATATTTTCAAAGCATCAGTATTTTCTGCATTTTCCCTTCAAATTAATGTTTTGATGGTTTACCCAATGGTACAGGAAGAAAACTATTCTTTGAAAACTCAGAATGATGAATTAGGTGCTAAGTTGCGTCGAACAGAGGGCATTCTTTCTCGTGTCAAAGAAGAGCTTGCCCGCTATCGCGTTTCTAGTGGAAGGAGCCCCTTTATCAATTTTGAAGAGGAGCAACGACTCAATGAAAAGCTAAAGGTTAGTATCCAGTCAAGGGATAGTAGTTCTCCATATTCCTTGGGTTGATTGATTTCATGGTGAGAGCTGGTGGCCTAATAGTCTAGGTAAATCAACAACAGGAAACAGAGGAAGAGAGACTCCAATTAGCACAGAAGCTGTTGGGCTTGTGCACCAGCATTTTAAAGGTCGGTGGAACCCTCTCTTTCTTCCTTCATATATGTAAACTTATGGTTCAGGTTTTTCTTGGTCCTTGGAATGTAATTCAACATTTCAAGTTTTTTAACCACAATTCCAATTTAAATCCACATTGCAGGCAGCTGGGATTAAGCAACCTGTATCCAATATTAGTCTCTCTGTTGCTGAAGAGGCACTTGGCCAGCTTAGGGACCGGGTCACTTCACTGGAAAGAGAGTTGGAAGATTTGAAATTCAAGGTATGGGCATGATTCAACGAGGTCTACTGCTTTTGGTAAAGATAGAATAATATTTCTTCTGAATGCACTGGCCAGTAGAACTACAAGATTGCTAATTATTTTGCAGAGTAAAATAACAAGTGAACGGATTCGGTTGTCTGAGCTCAATCCAGAATCTTCATCGCTAGGCTCAATGATAGATGAAAAAAGTTTAATACAAAGAGGGGTGTCCCATACACCATTTCTTTCATCTTTAAGTCGATAATGCAAGGGCAAGTTGGAGATTTTTTTTCCCTTCATTGTTGTGTTAGTTCTTTGCTAACACTTGTGAAGATGAGACTGTACTTATTGTAATTGGTTAAAGCAGGTTTGTCATATATGCCAGTAATCAAGCAATCAATTCTTTTGTATACATTCAAAATCAAAGGAAATAAAGAGTCTTGGAGCTTGTTGTAATTTTATGTCTGTACCGGTGAAGCTGCTACAATTATAAACTTTCAAGTTTCAATGCCCATACATCGTTTACCAAAAAAAGCCATCTGACAGACATCCAGGGATAAGGGTGATCATGGGTGGGGCAAGGCTTGGGCTTTGCACCTGCAATAATATCCTGGACCCTGGCCTGAGCTGGGACGTGCCTATCTTTTTGTTCCACTATGATATGGGAAAGATATGATATCTGATTTTTTTTTTTTTTTTTACCAATCAACTTGTATCATAGCCAATTAAGTATTATTTATCAAAATTCATGGATGGATTTTGATTGGTCAAAACTCTTCTCATACTATATCTTTCGGTATCATAGATTTTTACATATAAAAAATAGTGTATATATATATATATAATACTTTATATTATATATTGTGTGTGTTGTGGGCCAGACATAGAGCAGGCTTGGATTATTAGATTCAGGCCCGGCCCTAAAATCTGTCAGTCTGATGCATGCCTGAGCCTGGAAGGGGTTTGAACACAAAACCTAGGCCCAAAAGCCTGGAATTTCCGGGCTGAGCAGGGAGCCTAGCGCAATGGCGCACGGGCCTGCAAATGCATGATCACATTTTGGAGACCAACTTCGTAGGAGAAAGCGAAAGAATGAGTTGGCTTGTTTTATCATAAATAAGGGATGATGCTTAGGGGAAAGGGAAAATGGTTTGCTTCAGACCATTAAAAATCATTTTTGTGGAAACACTTCTTGAAGAACCGAAATCCCAGATCATGCGATGATATGCATAGTTCTGCTCCTGTCAATTGACCTGGTCAACCTGGTGGCTGGTAGGCCTGAGCATTGCAACCCTCTTTTACATAGGATCTAGAAAAGTTCCCCGTTCCGATTGGTCAGCTCTGGAAGATATTTGTCTTTTCCCTTTCATCTTTTCTATACATATATATTGCAATTGCCCCAACCCTCTCCCTTACATTGGATTCCTCTACAGTATACCCAAATTATCTTCTAGTCTCGACTTCGAAAAAAACAAATCACCTACTTGATTCCAGAACTCTTTTTCTCATCCAGAGTCTAGACCTCATTTCCAGCTCCTCTTCCTTGAAATTTCAAATTCTGACACTTGCATACTTTCTCTTGCTGTTGGTTTTCTCCGGTTCCCTTATTTTTTTTAGAACACCTCCCTAGTGTAATAGTGTCAATTTTTTTTTATCGTCTTTTGTATTTGATTGTATTTGCAATTGACATCGAGCTCAATCTCTACTCACAAAACACTAAAGCGATTTAAATAATTTCAATTACACCAGGTAGTCTTAAGAAGCCGCACACTAAAACTGCACGTGTTATTTCAATTAGTGAGTGGCAGATTCTGTCACATTATAGTCTTGTAATATAATAGAGAATGTGGTTTAATGGCACTCAAGGTTGTAAATATCGATATGTTTAATATGTCGGTAGGGGCATATTGAGTAGTATTAGTATTTTTTTTATTTTTTTCAAAACCGATTCAAGGGGCCGATTTAAGGTTCTTCCACCCCCTGAATCAGTTAGAACCATGATACACCTTATAAGGGCATATCGAAATACTCCCAATACGATATATATCGGTCGATATAAGCTGATATGTGTCGATTTTTTGAACCTTGATGGCACTTTCCTATCTAACGTATTTGTATATCCACGAGCAATTAGTCTTTACACGCTTTTCTAAAAACATCTATATTTACACGGTGGAAAGTGCATTCCTATTGGGATTAAAAAGAAAAAAAAAATGAAGTATCTCACTCATTGATAGGGGCCTTAGAACTACAATTCTCCACGTTGTATATAAGCTGCTAAATATCCAATCACGACTAAACATATGCCAGTGCCCTATGTACAAGACAGTGGCAGATTCATAACCTGGGGCAGCATCATCATAATATAAACTTAGTCATAACAGGGTGGATTTGAGCTCCATCCGCCAATCTCGATCGCAGTTAAGGAGAAAGATTAACCTCCCCGAACCTTGATAGGGACGGGTTTAATATCAGGGACCTATAATTGGGGTAAGGGAAAGGCGGGGGACTTCACTCCTCAACTTCATCCTTGTCCTGATCGGGTATCTCCATTAATTCCTATCCCTGTTAAGGCAATCATCATCCCTCGATTTGATTAGGTTGGGTATTCGGCAACAATGAGGAAAATTATTCAGCAACAAAGTAGAGAGATAAGATTGAGTTTGATTAGGGATGAGGAATGAGAAAAAATAAATGAAAGAAAAGGAAAAATATATATATAAAAGTTAAAACCCTTAGGCTCAATTTGGAAGGAGTATAAATACAAATATGTAGAGTGCAAAATCTTTTATTTTGTATGAATTTGTACTATACATATTTGCATTTGTATCCTTTCCAAACTAAGTCTTAGGCTGTGTTTGGTTGCAATGCAAATAAATTTGCACTGATGCAAAACCATGGCAGTGTAAATGATTTGAGTATTAATTCTGACCTATTTATGTTTTAAATTTTAGCTTATTTTGTTTGATTGCAGTACAAATGAAGTAAATTAAGACATGAAGCAGAATAAAGTAACATCCAAAACAAAATTAAACAAGAATTTGCATTTTTTACATTTGCACTCCCATGCATTTGTACAACCAAACACAACCTTAGTCACAAACCTCGTAACTAAATCCATAAGGGGTAAGGACATGTCATTATTGTATATTTTTTCTTTATTTCTTATATATTCACCTCTAAGAAAGGATGCCATTTTAGTGTTTTCAAATCGCCATTGACCTATCTAGTTGAACCATTCAAACTATCACCCAACCAAGATTCTAGGTCTAGTTTTAGTAAAACTCAAAAAAGGGTCAAAAACCGTCTAACTCGGTGACCAAGTCACAAGTAGCACAAACTAAAAGTGTATGCAAACTTTAGGAGGCCATACCTTTGTGCTTTGATGTCTGATTGAATTGATCCTTTTTTTGTGGTAACTTTTCGAGATCTATGCATCCCAATAGGCGTATTGCCCCACTATTTTTATAAAACCCCCTTTTTTGGCCTCAAATCGCAATTTTAATAATTTTTACAAATAAAAGAATTAAACATTGAATTAAAAAACATAAATTAAATATAAAGTAATACTGATGGTGTGCGATTTAGCGCTCCTTGCTGGAGGACAACTCAGACATCGAGGTGGTGAGGTCGGTTGGCCGAGTTGCAAGAAAGTAGTAATCAAAGTACCCAAGATGCTTTACCCGGTGTGGGCACTCCGATGCTTAAGTTAGTGAAGAGCTTTGTGAATGCAAGAATGCAAGATAGCTAGAGGATTCAAAGAGCTAAATCATGCGTACCTTCTCTGATCAATGAGACACATTTATATAGGCGTAGGTTGCCGTGGACTTCACATAGCGTATCCAAGATCTTCGAGAGAACATGGCTTACCAGCCCACCTCGTTCAAAGGTGGTTTCACGCTCGAAGATGACTTCCGCATAAAGTGATAGAGTTTATTCGGTTGCCTTCAAAGCGGGTGGGGTGGGTGTCAACTCGCTCGAGGAGGCGATGTGATCCCAAAGGATTCGAGAACGATAACCCACACATAATGGAGGTCAGCCACCACGTCATGCAGGTCACCAACCTATCCTCAATTAGGTTGGTAGTGAGAGGTTACCCCTTATGCCAAGGTGCCTACAGATCGGCCTTGCCAAGGTGGCGTTGGTATTCTCTTACAGTGCGCATGAGATGTCTAAGGTGCTTCCGAAGTCATTGCCTATGTGGCGTTGAGTCTTTACCTACATTGTCACCTGACATGATGTCAATGGAAGGCCAAATTACCCCTTATCAAATACATATATTACTTGTAGAACATAAATATACATTATTATATATATATATATATATATATATATATAAATTTATATATTGCTAGCATGGCAAGATCTGACCCGTTTGACCTGGATAGTCGAACCGATAACCCATGATCCAAAGGCAAAAGTGATTCAACCTTTGAATCGGTTTTTAAATGGAACCACATTTTATTTAACCCTTACTATTTTATTATTTTATTTGTGTGGGGATAATTGTGAACATTTTAAAATTTATTCATAAATTTTATATATATATATATATTCCAATCTAGGTAGTCTTCTCTTTTGAAGCTTCATGTACATGACGGGGAGTGTTTCACTTAATATTGTCTGAACTTGATTTTGCGTCAAAATCCTCTAGCACATTCACACGTGATGTCCAAATTATCCTTTTTTATAAAATGTCAAAAATACTCTTTGTATGGAATGTTCAAATTACATATATGCATCACGTGATATAATAGACATTTTTAAATGTCCAAATTATTTTTTGAAAGTTTGCCATCGTTTTCTTTATTTCATATTTAAGGTAGCACAATGTCACTAAGCCAAGTTCCTCAACCCTAGAGGGCCTAAGGTTGTGTTTGGAAGGAGTATAAATACAAATATATAGAGTACAAAACAAAAATGTCCGGTTCATGTAAGTGCAAAGTGGTTTAAGATTTACACGTCTATTTTGTACTCAGCTCATTTAATTTGTTTTGACTGATGCAAATAATAATACAATTTTTGTGGATGTTTGGCACTTCCATCAATACAAATACAACTGTCTTGCTACCCAATGGTGTTCCAACTATTCCCACCATTAAACAAATATAAAAAAATAATATATTAATTAATAAATTATAAAAATTAAAAAATTAAAAAAAATTATTAAAAGTTCCAGAAAAATAAGAAATAGAAAATATAAACTTTTTCTGTACTACTTCCTGGCATGAGAATGCAAATGCTAGAATCAAGCACTGCAATCTAAATCTCTGCCTTATAGTCTTGAATCAGATGCAAATGAAGGTGTCGGAGAATCTGCGAAATTTGAGCTTGAGAACCAAGTCATTGAGCTCCAAACCCAAGTTGAACCCGCAAAATTTGAGGCTGCTTCTGATTCTGATATCCAATTGAAGCTTGAGGCTGTAGTGAAAGAAAATACTACCTTAAAACTTTAGCTTCTTGCTTGAGTTGAGGAGCTTGAAATTAAGACCTTGGAAAGGGATTAAGGGACCTAAGTATACAAACAACTGAATCAGCTAGCAAGCAATATTTGGAAAGGAAAAATCTAAGACATTTTATTTTCAACAAGACTATTTATTGATACTATATATGCATCATATTCATGAAAAGGAGAAAAATGACGCATCTTAGACAATAAAGCATGAAGGTAACCACATTCCAAAATCCAAATATTTAGGTGGGACAAAAATAGATATTTAGCTGCCCATTACTTTTCAATAGGGGTGGATTCGAGCCGAGATGAGCCGAATAATATCAGGTTCAAGCTCGGCTCGCCAAGGTTGTATAAAGCTCGAGCTCGAGCTTGAACTTGAGCTCGGTTCGAATCAAAAACTCATAAGCTCAAACTCGACTCGGCTTGTGAGCCTCATGAAAAATTTGTAGTCGTTTTTTTGGGAAAGGTAAAGTAAAATTTGCAATCATTTTAAAGGAAGCATATATTACTTCCAATGTTGGATAACAGGTGCAATACAAATACAGAAACAAGCTGTCTAGTCTTTCTTAAGTAAAGTCAGTAACCATCTGATTAATGGCATGCATAGTTGGACATTCTATTACATTTTTATGTCGATAGTGAATGCTTTATATCCATTATCCATACCATCAGATCATGGGTTAATCAACATGGCTAGAAGAGCTGATAAGTTGTCTTTCTATGAATTTCTCAACATTCTTGTTGATGGATGTGATCCCTTTTCATAAGATTTGTGGACTGAAATCAGAATAAACAAGTTGACATTTAATGGTGTCAATCTATGCTCACGTTGCAAGGTAGAAAGTTATCCTTACCACTTATTTAATATATTCCTTTTTTAAGATCAACATCGTTTTGATCTAGCAGTGAACGTACAATGTATTTCTGTTGTGCTTGGTGAGGATCACAAGCTTCTAATATTACAACTAAACAAATAAAATTCTTATTTCCATCAGGTACCCACAATCAATCAAGAAAATGGCATTGTAGGACCTGATCCAACTAAAACATTTGTGAAGTTCCGGTCAGATAAAGTCTTGCTTCCAGGCTGAAAACGTTAGGGCAAGGTAAGACAATTGACTTGAACTATGCAAGAATGTATATTTGATTTAAATGCTAATATGTTTTTAGGTTATTAAATGGTTAAGGTTTTTGCAGGTTTTCTTTGGCCAAAATTTAGTATGCAGGGAATCGTCATCATAAACCTTGCAGTTGTGCTTATGCCATTTTGGGCCTCCAATGGCAATAATTTTGTAATACTACCTCTGTATTTGCTATAATTGGAAGAAGATACATCTCCATGGAAACACCATGTGCCCACTTGGGTTCTTTTATATAAGATAGTTTTGGGATTCTCTCACCAATCTGATTTGACCTAAGAGACTCTTAGGCTATGATGTCACATGTAACATAACCTGTCCAATTTTCATGTTCCAAAATTCTTATTCATGATTGAAATTTGAATTGGAAAGGTATTACTCACCCTGATTTAAAAGGTGCGTCTAGGCGCACAGGCGAGGCGCATTTTAGGGTAGGCGCCTCGCCCAGGTCCTAGGCACAGCCCATTCAAAAGGCGCACACCTGGTGTGCCTAGGCATGCGCCTTGCACCTTAGCCCAAGTGTGTACCTTTTGAAAAATTTCTGCTTTTTCCTTTTTTTTTTTTTTGAGTTTGACACTAAAGCTTACAAAATCTCCTATTTGGTAATGTTGTCCATTCATTCATCCTAATAAAATATATTCTTAAAAGCAATTAAAACTATAAAATTATTATTTTTTTGTGTGAAAAACTAAGAATTTAAGACCCTAACGTGGACTTGTTTGGGCTTGGCTCAAGGGGTGTGGCACAAAGGCGGCTTGTAGAATTAGGAATATAATATGTCACATTAACTACTTGATGCAATTGAGAAAAAAAAATTGTGGGTTTTATATGCTTGAAAATGTTTTATATGTTTGATTTCATTTTTAAATTCTCATTTAATATTCTTTACATTTTATATTTATGTATTTTAATTTTAGATAATAGGTTTTTTAAAATATTTATTTTAAAACTTAAGTTTATATTTTTATTAATATTCTATTTTATATTTTTTTGATATTTTTTTTTGAATTTTAGTTTTTTTTAAATTGTGCGCCTTGCCTCAAAAAGGTGCGCGCCCTCGCCTTCTGCCTTGCGCTTTTAAAACACTGTACTCACCAATCTAAATTGAACCATCCAATGCTAGTCTAAATTACCAAATTAGAATGAATGATTTGTGGGAAAGGAAATCATCAAAACATATATTTCACCTTTCATTGTCCTTAGGGCAAAGAATTTTTAGTTAATAAAGCATGTAATTTATGATCATTGAACATATAACCAACAATAAAATTCCATAGAGGTGTAAAGTGGGTTGTGCCGGGCCTGCGGGCCATCATGGGCCGTGCCGCCCTCCCCGGTGAAAAATTTGGGGGTCGGCCCGGCCAGGCCCATGGCCCAGGCCCATGTCGTGCCGTGGGCCAGGCTGGTCCGTAGGCTGAGCCTTGGGCCAAAGCTATTTATTTAAAAAATTGACAAAAAACTTAAAATTTTAATTTTATATGAATTTTGTGTATAAAATTGCTTATATATGCAATAATTAATTAAATTAGTATAATAAAATTAAAAAATATTTATTTTATTAATATATTATGTACTATATATTATTATATAATTATAATTTATATAATATTATATAACTATATATAAAATATATATATGGGCCGTGTCGTACCGGCCCATGAACCTAAAACCCCAAGCCCAACATGACCTGCATGGTCGTGCCAGGCCGGTCCAAGTTCGTGCCACGTCCCGATTTACACCTCTAAATTAATTCCACCCAGATTAATATATTGTATCTTTAGACTCACAAAGAATATTTATTGCTACAAAAGAAACTTTTCTCATGTGGAGCAACAACTTTTTCTACAGATGTCTCCTATGGGAACTTTAACGGCTAGCACGCTAGAAAAGAAGATGATATAATCAAGTTCACTTGCATGTGATTGAAGGTTCCAAAAAGTGTTTTACAATCAAGTTTGAAGGTTCCAAAAACAGTTTGTATAGCATTTTGGCAGGGCTCTCTTCCTCTCTTTATACATCAATGTAATTCTATTTTCATATCTAATTTTTAAGCATAGTCGTTCATGAAATTAAATAAACAAAGAGAATCCATTAAATAGTAATCCTAGTAATGACTGGTAAATTAAATCCGCACTGAGCAGCATTACGCATCATCCACTACGTTGTACTAATCACAAAACAAAGGATGAAAACAAGAAAAGAAACGAATAAGTGAAATAATTATGGCCAAGGAGATAGAGTGCGTGTTGACAATGAAAAAGAAGTATAGTAAGAGGACAGTGGTGAGCACTCCAACCATAGCAGATCTGCTGATGGTAATTCTATTCAACCGTTATAAAGCTACGGGTAATCAACCATAGAAAACTAGCAATTTGAAGAAAAAATCTCCTGTCTGAACCTGAGCACTCACATGTTGTTACTTGAGGATATGGGTTCTGCAGGCGTTATGCAACAACAGTTTCAGAGCCTACTTCGAACTTTTAGAGTTGGGAAGAGACTAGAGAGAACTCGCCTGTTTTGTCTCTACTTCAACAGTTAAATTGATCAAAAGTCAAATTAGCCCTAAGCCCTAATAGCTTCTAAGAGCTTTTTTACTCATTTCACCGATTCTACCCCTTCTTAAAGAAACTATTTCCCCTGAAAAGTATAGTGGCTTCTAAATAGAAAATCATATCAAAAAGCTAGAACAACAATAAGAAATCAAAAGCAAATGATAGAACTCGTCCAACTAATGATAAGGAGAGAAGAGATTCAGCGGTGTTCAACGAACTAAAAACGAAGAAAGATCAGACTTACCTCTCTAAAAATAAAGGCAGATTGGTGAATTGGATAATAAGGCCAAATCTCTGTTCCGACGAGGGAAGCATCACGGAAATTAAAAAAATAAAATCAAAATAAGAGTTCAATGGATTGAAGTAAGAAAAGAGTTACCTTTCTCATTTATAGAAATCGAAGCCAGAGGTCGTTACCTCTATTGCAACCCAGAACTGTTTTCTTCTCTTAAACTCTTGAAAATGGTTTTGGAGAAAACAGTTGAAATCGATGCAATGGGTATGCCTATTTACTTCGACCACAATCGGAGCAAAGCTTTCTTTGGTTTTGAAGAAGTGCAAATGTTTGGTTGCAGTGCAATTTTTTTTTTGCATTAATACAAATGCATGGGACTGTAAATGAAAAAAAATGCAAATTCTTATTTAATTTTGTTTAGGATTTTACTTTATTCTGTTTCATGTCTTAATGACTTAATTTACTTCATTTCTACTGTAATCAAAATAAAATAAGCTAAAATTTAAAACAAAAATAAGTCAGAATTTACACTCAAATCATTTGCACTGCAATAATTTTGCAATAGTGTAAATTTATTTGCATTGCAACCAAATACATCCTATTTTCGATGCAAATCCTAATCTACACACATTTTTGCATCGAAAATTGATATATTATTTTTGAACTCTTACCAAAGGAATGCAAATCTGAACGGAGTGCAAATTTACAATGGTTCAGCATTTGCACTCCAACCAAACACAGCCTAAGTGTTAAAATCATTCCCCAGCAAGATAGTCATTGATCATCGCATGAATTATCTTCCACTATACCAAAATAGAAGATTCAAATCTAACGGTTTATCTTTCCCACCAGCCTCGTGATATAAACAATGACACGATCTCGGCATCAATGTGCTTTGGTGGACTTATCATCAGCATCAGTGGACTGTAGATCTCTAGAGTCTAGATTCTAGGCCCTCATCAATCAATCAAATCTCTTAAACCCCAACTCCTGTTTCCCCTGCTTGCAGGTACCGAACACCGGTGGGTGCATGCTCTATCTTCCCCGCTCTTCCCTCTTTCTTTCCGTCTCTAGTATCCTGTTATGAGGACCTTATCTTGAAACTTTCTAGGAATCCTCTTGTCAGAAGCTCGTGCGCCGCAGAAATGGCATCCGCTTGCTCTTCGCAGCAGTTTATTGTTTCGCCTTCTTCTACGATGGCTCTCAGAACCGCTTCTCCCCTTCTACAGAGGTTCAAGGCAAGTCCCATTTCATTGTTTAATCTTCTCTTTTCCAAGAACTTATCCTTTTGTGCCATGGGTTTAGCTCCAATCAATAGTTCTGTGCTTGCTTGCTTGGTATTTCTAATTATGCTTTCTTAATGGAATTGATAAGTTTTTCGACATGATGAAAGTGGGGTTACTGGACCTTTATATGACTTGCAGGTTCACCAATTGATGGATGTTCATTATATCCTCGTGTCTCCATGTTTGTGAACTTATAAAAAATCTGAACTAGATAATGCATTTTTTGCTTGAATTGTTGAGGTTCTTTTTTGTTCGTTGTGTTTAAAATTATGGTTGGCTATATTCTGTGTTTTACTCAATTTCATTAATTCTTTTAGTAATAGTTGTTCCCTTCCTTATCGAGGTTGTGTAATTTTTGGATTGATATAATATGCTGCTCTTTTACTTCCTTCTTGGTGTTTTCTTTTTCATTGGTATCTATGTATTATTTACCCCAATTAACAATGAGTCTTGAGGAGCCTTCTATAACTCTGAAAGGACACAGAGCTAGATTGTCGTAATTCATATTTAAGGAAGGGAAAATATTATTATCAACTCAAGTCTACAATTCCTTACCCCAATTAAATGGGATTGGCTTTCAATTACATAAAAGACTATTATCAATCACATACAAAGTAGACAACTGCAGGGAAAGGAAAGTGATGTGCCTAAGCAATTACACTATGGGAGTTTCAACATCTCTAAATCTTCTTACAAACTATTTTGTTTGTCATAAATTTGAAACGAATTCTGGAAGTACTATCAAGATATACTCCCAATCTGGTTACATTAACTGATTGTCCAAAATGGAATTGGTAACTTTTATTGATTTGCCTCTTCTTGTTTTCTCTTTATTGCTTCTCTTTGTTTCTTTACTTTTAAATTCCCAGAGGCCCTTTTGTTTTGTTGTATTGTCAACTATTTTGGATTTCAGTTGCTTATGACATTAATAGGCCCTAAAATACTTCTTTGGAGCATTTGGGTTTTCTTATCACATTCCAATTGCAACCTTGGCATCATAGGTTGAGTCAACCAGCCCAAAATGATAAAACCTTAGTATGGGCCTAGTACAAACATAAGAAAGATGCTATAACTTCGCTTAGCTGTCATAAATCATGAACCACTGGTCTCAGCTTGACAAGGCTATCATTTTAGAAGTCTATGTACCTTGTGAGTTGTGATTTATGAAGGTATATTGTTGCGCTGCTGTATCTGCCAAGTCTTGTTGGGATTGCCTGAGGGTTTAGACCTTATTTTTTCCTTTTTTTTTTTTTTTAAATTAACAGACCTTTTAATCTATCTGGCAGGGATGGTCTTCACATCCAAGGACCTATTACCACATTTTTAGATCCAGATCATATGGGTTTGGTACATTTCATACTACTAAGTCCATTATCTCATGTGTGCCAAACACGACTACAGAACATTCTGATGGCCATGGGAGGTTAAATGTGGACCATATAATGGATGAGGCAAGAAAAATTTGGGAGACTTCTCCTGAGCCCGTGAAGAATTTCCCTTGGATCAAAGCACTAGAGAATTTTGTTCAGCTCATCCTTGATCTTGTTTGTGCAGTTATGAGGTACTTAAGTGTACCTGTGTTGGCAGTTTCCACACTAAGCGAGATGTCCTACTGTGCACATGAAAGGAAAATGATTCTTATACCCATTCCCCTACTTGTAGGGATTGCTGTTGCTGGGGTTTTAAGGGATACAACACTAGAACTGTCTCCACGTCTAAAGGTCAGTACGATTTCCACGTTTATCAGAATTATATTATTTTGTTTAGGCTAGTCCAGTTATGCAGACCATAACCATGTATTACTATTGCAATGATGTTGTTAAACTGTTGAACTGTTAGTCAGTGTTATAACAAATGAATGTTTTGGAACAAATATTTAACCACGTGGCTATTGTAATATGCCAGATGGTCTCCCACACCGACTGTATTATAAATACTTGTCTTGACATTGAAATAATATACAGAAATATTGTTCTCTTCCGCTGCTTTTGATATCATGTTACATGGTATCAGAGTGGTAAACACTCCTGCCTTTTTCTTGTGATTGTCGTTTCCTGCTCACTTGCCGGAAAATCAAGATTCCAAGACTCTGCATCTGTTCTTTTTTCGTTTTCTTGTTCCCATGATGGCATCAACAGAGTCCAACATGGCAGCGTGCCATGAAGATTGCATTACGAGCAAAGAACAAATATTCCTTTATGGATGGTTCTTTGCCTAAACCAGCATGATCTTCACTAGAGGTGGCTACCTGGATAAAGTGCAATGCTATGGTGGTGTCTTGGATCTTCAATTCAATGGCAAGAGAGCTGTATGACAGTGTTGCCTTCATTGATTCTGTTTTTGAGATTTGGAAAGAGCTCGAAGAACGTTTTTCATAGGGCAATGTTCCTCGAGTTCACCAATTGAAGCGTGACTTGGCTCCGTTACAACAAAACGACCTCTCTGTCACTGCTTTTCTTCACAAAGCTGAAAGCCCTTTGGGATGAACTTGCTTCTCTCTCCTCTTATCCTGAGTGCACCTGTGGAGCTGCTAAAGCTTTCATGGCCGACCGTGAGAAAGAGAAACTCCACCAATTTCTCATGGGACTAAATGACAATTACAATACTCTTCGTACCAATTTTCTTGGCTTTGAACCACTGCCATCTTTGAACAAGACATATTCCCTTATACTACAGGAAGAGCGACATCAGACTTTGATGTCTCTAAGAGGACCGGTCAACCCAGAGGCTGTAGCTCTGAATGCCTCTTCCCAAACCAACAACCGTGGCAATAGTGGAGCTAGTTCAAATACTACCCTAGGTCGATCAAAATATCGGTGTGACTACTACAAACGCCAAGGCCACACTAAGGACAGATGCTATGAATTGAATGGATACCCTGCAGGATGGGAGAAAGGTCATTCAAACCGACGATCTGAAAAGAAAACTTCCCAACCTGCCAAGCAAGATTCTGATCATCGCACCAATGCCCCTGTCACATGTGCTGCTGCATCAGAAAGTTCTTCTACCGTCACTGGATCTCCACTCGTGGGACTGTCCATGCAGCAATATCAACAACTTTTATCTTTGCTCAACCAAGATTCATCAGAAGCAGTCGCAGCTCCAACATCTGGTAAGGCTTCTGAACCCATTGCCTGGATCTTCGACAGTGGGGTGTCGGATCACATGGTGTCTTCAGACTCTTTCTTGGATGATTCCACTCATCTTTCTGGCATTAAACCTATTCACTTGCCAAATAAAATGATTCTTCCAGCTACGCATCATGGTTCAATTCATTTACCTAACGGTGTTGATCTGAAAAATGTTTTACATGTTCCACACTTTACATGCAATTTGTTATCAGTAAGTAAACTAACAGCGCAGTTAAATTGTGTGGCCCTCTTTTTTCCTTCATTCTGTGTCCTCCGGGACCTTGCTACCAAGATGGTGATTGGAGTGGGTGAACAACGCAATGGACTGTATTACTTCCACTTCTACTCACCTTCCTCTGTTCATTCTGCAGTTTCAATAACTGGTGATAGTTATGACCTCTGGCATAGACGACTTGGCCACACCCCTGGTCAACGTCTTTCTCTTATCACGGGACTTCCTTCTGCTAAGCGGGATCATTGTTGTGATGCTTGTCACAGAGCAAAACAAGTCAGGTTGCCGTTTCCCATCAGCACTAGTTGCTCTTCAACACCGTTTGAGTTACTCCACTGTGATATATGGGGAGGTTACAAGACCCCCCTCTCATTCTGGAGCACATTTCTTTCTTACCATTGTAGATGATTGCTATAGTTGCATTTGGATTTTTCTATGAAAAAATAAACCAGAGGCTATTTCTTCTCTAGTATCTTTTTGTAAAATGGTAGAACGACAATTCAATGCTTCAGTCAAGCAAATACGCTCAGATAATGGGTCTGAGTTTTGTTTGGGTCCCATACAAGATTATTTTGCAGTACAAGGAATCATTTACCAAACAACATGTGTGGACACCCCTCAGCAAAATGGGATTACAGAAAGAAAGCATCGCCATTTGCTAGAAACAGCTCGAGCGTTATGGTTTCAGGCATCATTACCTATTTCATTTCGGGGTGAGTGTCTTGACTGTAGGGTATCTCATCAATCTCCTCCCCACACCCATTCTTTCAGGCAAGTCACCTTATGAAGTTTTGTTCAAAGAAGTCCCATCCTATAAACATTTGAGGGTATTTGGATGTCTCTGCTATGCAAAAATTCATCCCTGACCACATGACAAGTTTGCTAGCAAGGCACTCAAAGGCATGTTTGTGGGTTATCCTTTTGGCAAGAAAGGGTAGTCTATGACCTTGACACACAATGGATTGTTACATCTCGGGATGTCACATTTTATGAATCCCGTTTCCCTTTTCAAACAATCCCTGAATCCAACACCACCACTGTCCTACCCCTTCCTCATTATGATGACACTTCCATCTTTGAGATCCCACATCAAACCAATCTAACTACCACTGAGACAGCTGTTCTGAATCCAGCCCACTTCACACATCAACCCATTTCTCCTGAGCCAATCACACAACTTAATCCCATACCTGAAAGGATCCAGCCCACTGATAGCATATGTTCCCCACTTACCGGGACCACAATTGACAACCCACGCCCTCATCGTCTTACAAAAATCCCTTCCCATCTTTATAATTATATTTGCAATCTCCCACCATCCTTTCACCGTACATCACTTATAGCTACACCTCCCCATGACAGTGAACCAACCAATTTTTCCCAAGCTGTTCTTGACCCCTGATGGTGCTAAGCCATGGCTGATGAGATCACAGCCTTTGAATGCAATCAAACATGGACTATTGTTGACTTACCAGTTACCACATGGAAAACGGGCCATTGGATCAAAATGGGTCTACCGCATCAAATACAAAGCAGATGGATCTGTTGAAAGGTTTAAGGCCCGCCCTGTTGCCAAAGGATACACCCAAGTTGAAGGACTCGACTATCATGTCACCTTTGCTCCCGTGGCTAAACTAGTAATTGTATGATGTCTTCTAGCAGTTGCAGCCATAAAAGGATGGGACTTACATTAGCTCGATGTCAATAATGCCTTTCTTCACGGGGACCTTCATGAGGAGGTTTACATGACTATCCCCTTGGCTTTGAAAAGAATGACAATCAACAAGTCTGCAAATTACAGAAATCACTTTATGGCCTATAGGGGTGTTCGCATTAAATGTCAAACCAACCTGACCCAACCCGAGTTGGTCGGTTTTTCAAAACCACCAGTCGGTTTCGATTTGTATGAGAAAATAAACCAACAACTCAGTTTGGCTTCGACCGAACCGAACCGATCCTATATGTTTAAGTAATTATTAATTAGTCCCTTCCCTATATGTTAAATGTTGATATATTTTATTTGTGTTTTGTTTGTACTTTGAAAAAAATGGTTATTTATGATAAAAACCAAAAAGTAAAACCAATACAAATATAATACAATGGTACAATATTTAATTCAGTTTTGTATAAATTTAAATATATATTGACAAAAAAATCAGTTGTGCATAAAAAACTAATCGATTTAAATATATATTTTGATTTTGCATAAAAACTAAAAAGAAATAAACTTAAATATAAATAGATATTTTAGTTTAAAATATATATAAAAACCGACTAAACCGGTAAACCGACCCTTCATGTTTGGGTTGGTTGGTTTTGTTTTAGTCAATAAGTAAACCAACTAGGTCAGGTTGGTTGAAGAAAATGACTCAAACTGACCCAACCCGACCTGTGAACACCTCTAATGGCCTAAAACAGGCCTCACACATGTGGTTTCACAAGTTTACAAAAGCCTTGACATCTATTGGCTTTAAGTAATCCACCACAGATTATTCTTTCCTTAGCCAATTCAAGTACACTAAGGATATCATTCAAGACACTGGTCTCATGGATTGTAAACCTGCATCAACACCAATGGAAGTCCAACGGCATCTTGCTGAATCAACCAGCCCACTAATCAACGACCTAGCTCAATATCGTCGCTTGGTGGGCCGACTGGTTTACTTAACTGTTACAAGACCAGATTTGTGTTATGCAGTCAACTGTTTAAGTCAATTCATGCATGAACCAAGACAATATCATTTTGATGCCACCCTTCGTGTCGTTAGATACCTCAAGGGCACAATGGATCATGGCATTTTCTTCTCTTCAAAGAATGACATGCTTTTACGAGGTTTCAGCGATTCAGACTGGGCAAGTTGTCTTTTGACTCGCCAATCAACCACTGGCTACATTGCAATGCTTGGAAACTCACCATTGTCTTGGAAGACAAAGAAATAGCAAACTGTTTCTTGATCCTCAGCCGAAGCCGAGTATCGGACCATGGCTGTTATCTAGAAACCTAACAAGCAAGCAGGCCCACACAAGAAAAGCAAAGAGAAGCAAATATACTATAACTGGAAATAGCTATGCATATTACTAATGCAAAGCTTACAATGATACATACAACATATCACACGTGCACTATTTTAACTTAGAAATTACACAAACTTACTGACCTTGATTAGAGACTACTCACCGCTATTGAAGTCTACTACAGAGGCTACACACACATACCTTACTCAGAGGCTACTCACCAAAAGACTCTTACACCACACTCTTATTATTTTACTTGGGAATTTTCTACACGTTTAAAGGGGGTGAGCCCCTATTTATACATGAGCTTAGCCGCCTTACATGAGGCGGTTTAACAAAAAATTGGTTTTTAATTGATCCACATGGGATTCTTTAAAACCAAAAACATCAGTCGGTTTTTGTAACCGACTAAAGAAGTCAGTGCTGACTTCTCATTTCTCCCCTTCAGCAACAATTTGTCTTTAGCTAATCATCCAAAGTCCTCATTTTGCTTTAGGCCTTGAATCTCTTTTCTTGCCTTTTGCCATCTTTCACTTTGACAGGCATCTTCATGACCGATTGGTTCTAAGTTGCTAACTTCTTCAGCGAGTGTGACGTCTAACCCTAGTTGACCTTTGTAATTCTTGTCTTGGTTGTTCCTTTAGCTCCTCCATTTGACTTGGTCTAATATCTTCAGCTGTCTTTCGCTCATGAACACCAGTGCTCCATGGTCTTGGAGATTTTTGAGTATCAGATGAACTAAGTTGGGGCTCTAAATCTTCTTTTTCATTTATCTTCTCTTGTAAATTCTCTTCCATAATTTCAGAATTAGGTAGTATAATYCTCTCAGATGACCACCAAGACGTAGCTTCATCGAATACCACATCTTGAGATGTATAGCAACGATTGGTATTCGGATCACAACACCTCCATCCTTTTCTTTCACTATCATAGCCGAGCAATATATACCAAATAGCTTTCTTATCGAATTTGCTGCGTAGATGGTTTGGCACAAAAACATAACACGCGCAACCAAATACACGAAAGTAACTTACTGTGGGTCGACGATTCCATAACTTCTCATATGGTGAGAGAAAGCCAAGTGATGCTTGCGGTAGTCATTTGATAACATGTGCTGCAGTCTTCATGCCTTCTGCCCAAATCGTCCTGGCACATTTTTACCATGCAACATGCTTCTACATACTTCAGCTAAATGCCGGTTCTCTCTCAGCTACTCCATTTTATTGCAGAGTATTTACATGTCAACTGTCGTTGTATCCCACATTTCTTGAGATAATCTGAGAATTCTCTTGATGTGTATTCTCCTCCATTATCAGTGTGAAGGCATTTAATTTTATGCCCATCTTCTTTTTCAACCTTCTCTTTAAATTCTATAAACTTTGAAAAAGCTTCAGATTTTTCTTTTAAGAAGTACACCCATACGTACCTCAAGAAATCATCAATAAATGTTATCATATACCACATCCCAGTGTTTGATTCTTGCTTCATTCGTCCAAACACGTCAGAGTGAATGAGCTCCAAAGGTTGTTTAGCTTGAAACTTTGGTTCAGTATATGGTAATTGGTGTGCCTTACCATATTGACATCCAACACATACTGTGTCAGTCCGTACTTCCAATTGAGGGAGGCCTTTCAACATTGACTTTGCCATCATTACTTTGAGCCTGTTATACCCAACATGGCCAAGTCTTGCATGCCAAAGATCAACAGTTTCATTACGTCGAGTCTTTTCTACATAAGCTGATTTAGCAGACATTACGTAGATAGACTCTAATTTTCGTCCTTCCATAAGTAGTGCCTTTGGTGTATGTATTCTTCGATATACTTTAACATCATTTGGACCAAACACTACATAATTACCAGATGCAGTTAATTGAGATACTGATAATAAATTCTTTTTCATACTTGGCACATGGTAGACATTTTGGAGCTGTGCTTCTTCCTTGTTGAATCGCGGGATGCATAATGCTTGACCGATATGGGTGATTGGAAGTTTTGCATTGTTAGCTGTAACCACAACTCGCTTGCCTTTATATTCTGACATAGATTGAAGTTTCTGTTTATCTCTTGTCATATGATTTGAGCATTCAGAGTCAATAATCTAGTCTTGGCTATAGTCAACTACTCCAGGATTTGGCAAGACAGATGGTGCTGATACCAATGAATAAGCTTCAACAGAGTAGCCAGGCTCATCTGGCTCTATAATACAATAGGAGGCTTCGGCTTCCCATTCTTCTTCACTTCCTTTATCTCCTTGCTGACTGGCTGATGTTGCTGTATTTCCTTCAGCTGGCATTCTTTTGTTGTACCAGCATTCACGTGCATAATGGCCCCTTTTAGAGCAGTTGTAACATATTACATTGCGTCGATTATTCTTGTACTGCTGAGAAGCTCCCCTTTGTTGATAACTTTCCTTCTGCTGATAAAACTTAGCAAGCTTCTGCTGCTTAGGCCTTCTGCTTGGCCCTTTCTTCCGAGTGAGAAGTTCTTCTTCTGTTTCTTTGATTGACACACTAGCCATCTGCTTATTTATTGTCTCTTGATTGGTCAACGTATTTTCTAATTCAACAAGCGATGGTTTTGTTGACCAACCTCTAATAGCTGTCATAAACCCATTATACTCGGGTCTCAACCCTCGTATAATTATTCGTCTCACTCGGGTTTCATTGATTGCAGACTCTTTATCTAATAGAGAGATTTCATCACAGAGGCTCTTTACCTTTGTAAAATATTGGCTGATTGTCATCGATCCTTGACTGATTGATGCAAGCTCATTTTCCAACATTTGAAGCCAAGCTTCATTTGTTTTGGTAAATAACTTAGATAAAATATCCCGGGCTTCACTTGGAGTCTGGGCCTTTTTTATATTCTCTAAAAATTCCTTCTCAATAGTAATTTTAATAGCGTAAAGAGCCTTACCTGCCTTGATTTTCCACTTCTTTTGAGCATTCTCGTTAGTAGGAGCTATGGTTTCACCTCTGATTGTCACTTCCAACAAATCTTCGCCTTGTAAATATGACTCCATGCACGTGTGCCAACTATCATAGTTATAGTGGTTTAGCTTTTCCATTCCCGCAAGTATGCTGGCTAAACCCGCCATTATGATTGGTGAAATCCTTCTCTGTTGCCTTTCACCAAGAAGCTTAGTCCTAGACTAATCGGCTTCACAGCGTCACGCTGCTCACAATGGACGATTCTAATCCGGCAGAGTAACGGCTAGATCTTCGTTACTCAAATGCCAATCGGGCAGAATGACAACTTCGGTCAACCTGCTCTGATACCAAATGTAGAAACCCAACAAGCAAGCGGGCCCACACAGGAAAAGCAAAGAGAAGCAAATATACTATAATTGGAAATAGCTATGCATATTACTAATGCAAAGCTTACAATGATACATACAACATATCACACGTGCACTATTTTAACTTAGAAATTACACAAACTTACTGACCTTGATTGGAGGCTACTCACTGCTATTGAAGTCTACTATAGAGGCTACACACATATCTTACTCGGAGGCTACTCACCAAAAGACTCTCTTACACCGTACTCTTACTATTTTACTTGGGATTTTTCTACACGTTTAAAGGGGGTGAGCCCCTATTTATACATGAGCTTAGCTGCCTTAAATGAGGCGGTTTAACAAAAAATTGGTTTTTAATTGATCCACGTGGGATTCTTTAAAACAAAAAAACTTCAGTTGGTTTTTGTAACCGACTAAAGAAGTCGGTGCTGCCTTCTCATGTTACTGTAGCTGAACTCCTCTGGCTAAAGCGAATCCTTGCTGATCTTACAATACATCTTTCTACCTCCATACAGCTTCATTGTGATAGCAAAGCGGCCCTCTACATTGCTGCCGCTCCAAGGTTCCATGAGCGCACCAAACATATCTAAATTGACTGCCACTTCATTAGGTAACACATCCAAGAAGGCACCATTCAAACATTTCATCTAAGCAGTGAACACCAACCAGCTGACTTGTTCACCAAAGCACTTGGGTCTGATAAATTTCATCAATCAAGTTGGGCATTTCAACTCTCCATTCTCCATCTTGAAGGGGGGGGGGGGTTAAACTGTTAAACTGTTAGTCAGTTATAACAGACGAATGTTTTGGAACAAATATTTAACCACGTGGCTATTGTAATATGCCAGATGGTCTCCCACACCGACTGTATTATAAATACCTGTCTTGACATTGAAATAATATACAGAAATATTGTTCTCTTCCACTGCTTTTGATATCATCTTACAGATGTTACTGGTAGTGTGTGGCGGCTGGCCTTGTCTTTCACCATAATACTAGTATTCTTCATAGACTGTTCATGCACTGTATCCTTAAACCTCACTGCATTTGCATCTTCATATTATCTCCCTTGTGTGTTTTTTGATGATATATTCTGTTTTTGATCACCAGAGAGCAGAAATTCCATGGCATCTTGTTGCCATGGCGGTTTTCTTCACATTGCTCAAACTGCCAGGCCCTTATTATCCATATTGGGGGCGCATATTGATTCCACATTTTGCAAATGGTGGACTATTGAGGATTTTATGGTTTACCATTTTGTGGTATAGAAAGCCACAAGAGACAACCTTGCAACAGACTTCTGTAGATGGTGGCCATTCTGAATAGAGGGAGGTTCTGATATTTTTGCGTAAGAAGTTAAGAGCAGGTATTACAATTTCCCTCTCCTTGAGTCTTGAGATGGACTGCAGGTTTCTTGCTATTATCATCTGGACAGAAATTGTATAAAGAAGATTATAATTTTCATTTGGATTTCTTGAATGTTTTTAGATGACAACAATTTTCTGAGGGCAGCCACTTTGTGCATAAAAAAGGAAAAAGAAAAATGGTTAGATCTGTATCTGGTACACCCCTCCCAACATTGGGTAATGGCCCTATTTATCTGACAAAAAATTGTTCAGGAAGGAATGCTAAATGTAGTCTTGTTTCATATATTTAAAATGTGGGCAGTTATTCTTATCTAGGTTTGTTCTGAAAAGCAACCACCTAAGATTACTATAAGTTTCTATTCTGATCTAGGTTTGTTCTGGAATTCTATTCAAGTTCATCAGTTTGTAACGTAGGTATGCTGATTTGGTATTGAATTGTTTTTTTGGAAAAGGTAAAGTAATTTTATTCAAACCAAACTCACATACAGACTGAAACCAGACCCAGGAAAGCAGTCTGAAAACAGCCAGAATTACAAACTCCACCAGGAGTGGGACTGAAATAGAAAAGACAAATTTAGATTTCTGAACTCCTCAGTAACAGAAATCCAAGAAATCAACTTGCCCACTGCTATCTGTATTACATCGTCAGGACTTTTAGCTCTATTACTGAAGATTCTACTTTTTTTTTTTTGAAAAAGGTAAGGAAATTTATTCATCATAGAAAAATTACAAGCAAAACCCAAGCCATAAAGGAGGCCTGGGCCCAAATCAGACTACAATCTCGTCCAAAACAGTGAACAAGACAAAATATACAAATTCTGATGTTTAAACTCCTCTAACATTGACACCCAAGAGAATAACTTGCCCACAGCTCTCTGCACTATTTCATCTGGACTTTAGCTTTACAACATAAAATTCTGTTATTTCTCTCATTCCAAATGGACCAAAGCACTGCAGCCGGAATGGAATTCCAAACAAGTTTTCCTTTCTTGCTAAGACCCTCAATTCTCCAACAGTTCAGCAGCTCCTTCACAGAATTTGGCATTACCCAACTAATCTCCAAAGCCTTAAAGAAATGTCCCCAGACAAACGAGGAAATTGGGCAATGGATACACAAGTGCTCAGTAGTTTCTGCAAGAGTACCACATAAACCACATGACAGATCTGGAATCTGAATGCCACATCTCGCCAGATTAACTCTAGTTAGACATTTATCAAGAGCCATAGTCCAAACCAGGAAATTAATCTTAGAAGGACTAGATGAATTCCAAATCTGCGTGGCAGGGAAATCCTCCTGACCTGGACTATACAGCTTAAGAACCATGGATTTAACAGAGAAACAACCATCTGCGTTCCATTTCCAGCTCCATTCATCCTCCAAGCTTAAATCAATCATCTGATTTTGAAGCAACCCCAACAGTGCCGCATACTCTTCCACCTTCTAATCAAACAAGATTCTTCTACAAAGCGGAGTCCAAATAATGGAATCCCTAGAAGCAATAAAATTCTCAACAATAGAAGAATCTTGATTCACAGAGATTTGGAACAGGAGGAGGAAAGTTTCTTCCAAAGACACCTCTGAACACCAGGGATCCTTCCAAAACTTAATTCTATCCCCATTTCCCACCTTAAATCTGATCCCTTCCAAGAAGATAGGAAGATTTTTCAAAATACCTGCCCATAGGGAGCTAGCCCCTCTTGATGAGGCCACTTGGATCTCCAGTCACCCCATTCCACCCCATACTTTGCTGCAATAAGGTTTCTCCACCATGCATTTCTTTCAGTAGCGAATCTCCATAACCATTTACTAAGAAGAGCAGAGTTAAAATTCTTCAAATTTCTTATTCCCAGTCCACCTGCTTCCTTTGGGAGACACACTTGCTCCTATTTTAAAATATGAATCCTCTTTTCTTCATCCCAACCCCTCCTTAAAAAATTCCTAGCCTATTTGCAATTTTGATTGGGATGGGGAAGAGAGAGAGGAAATGAGTAGGGAGGTTAGAAAGAGTACTCTTAATCAGAGTCACTTTGCCCCCAAATGATAGATATTTTGCCTTCCAAAAAGCCAATTTTCTATCCATTCTCTCAATAATTGAAACCCAAGTCACAGAGGAAGAATATTTAGCCCCAAGAGGCAACCCCAAATACTTAACCGGGAGAGAGTCAGTTTGGCAAGCCATCACTTCTGCGCATTCTACTAAGTCTGGGACAAGACCCACAGGGATAATCTGACTTTTACTCAAATTAACTTTGAGACCAGACACCACTTCAAACCAGCTCAGAATCCCAAGCAGTAATTCCAACTGAGTCAGAGATGCATCAACAAAACATAAGGTATCATTTGCAAACAGGAGGATATTAACTTTTTCCTTTTGAGGAGAGATAGCAAAACCATTCCAATACCCATAATCTGCAGCCTTCTTATTGAAAAGAGTTAGAATTTCCATCACACAAATAAACAACAAGGGGGAAAGAGGATCTCCTTGCCTCAAACCTCTAGAACTTCCGAAAAACCCCGTCAATTGGCCATTAATTAGGATAGAAAATTTTGGGGTCTTAACACATTCCGATCCAGTTTCTCCATTTCTGCCCAAAATTCATTTTTTCCAGCACCAAATCCAGGCAATTCCAGTTGATGTGATCGTATGCTTTCTCAATATCAAGTTTACAAATTACACCCGGGGTACCCTCTCTTCTTCTAGACTCTATCAACTCATTTGTAATGAGAATTGAATCAACCATCTGCCTTCCTGGAACAAATGCACTTTGGTTACTGGAAATCACACTGCCTAGCACACCTTTCATTCTTTCTGCCAAAACTTTAGCCAAAATTTTATAGAAACTGTGCAGGAGACTGATAGGTCTAAAGTCCTTAATGTTCACAGCCCCCTCAATCTTTGGAATGAGAGTAATGAATGTAGCATTCAAATTTCTTCACAGCGATGCATTTGTATGAAACGCCTGGAATACCTTCAGCAAGTCTTTCTTCACAAATGGACCACAAGACAGCAGCAGGGATGGTCCTCCACACCAACTTCCCTTTCTTACTTAGGCCTTTTGTTTTCCAGCTGCAGAGAAGCTCCTTAACCGACCTAGGCATGACCCAACTGATATCCATGGATTTGAGGAAGTACATCCATACCTGAGAGGAGAATGGACACTGTAGACACAAATGATCTATAGTTTCTGTAAGAGACCCACAAAGACCACATGCTAGATGCAAAATTTGAATGCCTTGCCTCACAAGATTAGATCTGGAAAGGCATTTGTCAAGGGCCATCGTCCAAACCAGAAAATTGGACTTAGGACTTGTAGGATTCTAGATTTGTGAAGCAGGGAAATCAGTAGGGCCTAAACTACACAATTTAGAAGCAAGAGATTTGACAGAGAATTCACCATCCGGATTCCATTTCCAGCACCATTTATCTTCCATGAACAGGTTTATCTTCTGCTTCTGAAGAAGAGCCATCATCTCCATAATCTCTTCTAACTCCCAATCAAATAGATTCCTCCTAAAGAGGGGGGGTCCAAGTGACATAATCTCCAGACAAACAGAAGTAATCAGCCACAGATGCATCCCGGTTTGAAGCACACTGAAAAAGGAGAGGGAAGGAGCCAGCTAGTGGGTCATCCAAGCATCAAGAATCCTTCCAAAACTTCGTTCTATCCCCTTTACCAATCTTTACTGAAATCCCTTCCCAGAAAATAGAGAAATTCTTCATGATACCTTTCCACAGGGAATTGCCCCAATTCAGAGGAAAATCCCTAGTTCTCCAGTTGCCCCACTCCACCCCATATTTATCAGTTATAAGGGATCTCCGCCAAGCATTCCTCTCAGCCGAGAACCTCCAAATCCACTTTCACAAGAGGGCAGAATTAAAGCTCTTCAGCTTCCTTATTCCTAAACCACCTTCAGCCTTGGGAAGACAAACTTGGTCCCATTTGACAAGGTAAATACTATTCTCCTCATCTCAACCCCTCCAAAGAAAATTCCTCTGAAGCTGCTTCAATCTTTTTGCTACTTTGTTTGGGATGGGGAAAAGAGAGAGGAAATAAGTGGGCGGATTTGAAAGAGTACTTTTTATCAAGGTCACCCTACCCCCAAAAGAGAGGTATTTTGCCTTCCAAGATGCTAATTTCCTCTCCAATCTTTCAATAACTAGGTCCCAAACTGAGGAAGATAACCAGTTTGCCCCCAAGGGCAAACCCAAATATTTCACAAGGAGGAAATCAGTCTGACAAGCCAGCACCTCAGCACAATCATCCAAGTTGGTAACTTGACCCACTGGAATAATTTGGCTTTTGTTCAAATTAACTTTAAGCCCAGAGACTACCTTAAACCAGGTTAAAATCCCAAGGACGAGCTCCAACTGGGTAGGAGAAGCATCCACAAAGCATAAAGTATCATCTGCAAATTGGAGAATATTGACCTTTTCCCCCTCAGGTGAAATTGCAAAACCTTCCCAATTGCCAGGGTCAGCAACCTTCTTACAAAACAGAGTAAGAATTTCCATGACACAAATAAAGAGCAAAGGGGACAAGGGATCACCCTACCTCAGCCCCCTTGAACTATCAAAAAACCCCGCTGACTGACCATTAATCAAAACTGAGAATTTAGGAGAGGTGGTGTACAAACTTTGATCCAGTTTCTCCATTTCTGCCCAAAATTCATGTGCTGTAACACAAAATCAATACACCTCCAATTGACATGGTCATAGGCCTTCTCAATGTCCAATTTACAAATTAATCCTGGGACACCCTCTCTTCTTCTTGAGCGAATCAAAACTGACATTGAGTTGCAACTATGCTAGAATTTACCTGAGCAGGTTATGAATTTGTTATGGGGAAAAGGTGGACAGAGTGAGGGAGGAGAATGGGAAGGTTGATGAGGCTCTAATGGTTAGAAGGAGAAGGTTGAAGTGTGTTGAGGGTTTTCTTGATATGAGGAAAAAAGGAGGATAAGGTGTTGAGCAATGTTGAAATGAGGATGAGAGGAATT